GGGCTTCATTCTGGGCGAGTTTGAAGAAATTCGATTTTTTCGCTATTTCCAAGTCTAGTTGATATTTAGGCGAAGCTGCTCTTAACATTCTTTCATTTTCATAATGACAAACCAACGTGCGGTTTTGAAGCCTTGCTCGCATTTTATAATTTGGGCCAACGTTTTTAGCTTTCTTCTAAAATTTACATCTGCTGTTTATACCCGTGAGTTAGCATCAATGTCTTTAACAGCTGTCGCTGAAGTAGAGGTTTCATAACAACCATGCAATTGCAAATAGAACTAGCATAAACAAGACAGAAATGCAAACCTCGTGCAAGACTAAATTGCAGTTCGTCTGCCTAAGTCCACTTTCTCAAAAAAATGTGTCGACCTCTCAAGCCAGGGTGTGACTATTTTAACCAACTACAAAATGCCGCATTCCCTAACATCTTTGTTTGAGTTGACGCCATCATTTCTGAACAGCCACCATCTTAGATCCGCCATCTTGGATTTGTCGATTTTTACAAAACGTTCGAAAGTCGCGAAAAGATGACTCAAATATCGTCAAACCCACAACGACAGTACAAAATAAGTAAAACAAAAAATGAAAGTTACTACACGCGAGATTCTATTTCAAAAGAAAAAACAAAATACAATATTTCAATAACATGACCGTCAGAATATAATAACCCTGAAAACAGTAAGATCCTTGACCGATTTTTATTCATATTTTTACAGTTGATGTGATATCTCACGATTTTTGCCGTCTTAACTAAGTATAGATGTAGATAACATGTTAGGAAAACTCGCGAATTTGGAGTTCGGTGCTCTAATGTTTTTGAAGTTAAAAGCCTTCGAGGTTGAAAACATTAAAAAAAACAAAATCCAACATTTGAATAACATGCCTATCAAAATATGGTTGCCACTGAAACACCAGCATCCTGGATCCAAAACATGTCATACCAAATGATTCTCAGATAACAAACTCGCAAATTTGGACTTCATTGGTCTAATGCCTCTAAAGTTATAAGTTTTTGAAGTTAGTGCTGTCTCAAAAGCTCCAGTCGCCGGTCTGAATAGCGTGCATAATGACTTGACGATTATTTGTCAGCTCCACTTCTTGCTAGCCTTATTAAGGCTGGAGTACCTACGATCTGAGTACAATCAATGAGAATCTCGTCTCCGTGAAAAAGCGGTGAAAAAAATTAGGAGATTAAAAACAACTAATCATCGAAATTATATGGCGGTCTGTTTGAATGTCACTGTGATCTTAAAGATTACGAACCTTCCGTCCTCGCAGTTGTGTCTGCTTCGGCTATCTGTTTCCTTTTGGCTTGATTGTTTTTCCTATCTAGTTTGATTTTATTACAATTACTTTAGGGTTCATGCATATCCAACTTATTTTTCAAATTTCATTTAAATCTATTCAACAGTATCTGTGAATCTAATGTTTTAAAGGGCTTGAACTCGATCTCCATAAGTGTCAGATTGTTGTACCATCAGCACCCCTTTTACCCGTTTGAATCCCTTGCCTTAATTATAAAAGCGGCAACATAAATACCATTTTCTTGCAAGTGAGATTTTTAACGTCAGATTTTGTATGTTTTTTTTCTAGTAAGGATTTATGAATTATGGAGATTCCGACCAACATCACCGAGGACTTGGACAATCAAGGTACTCATCTTACGTTCCTTTGCATTTTGTTCAAAAAGAAGGCAGACAAAAAATTTTGAATTGGTCACCTCTGAGAGAGAGTGGAAAGTTGGAGAGTTAGTCGCCCATATATGCCGTATTTCTATGTTAATCCATTCGAAGTTGTTTTAGACCACTTCTTTCTTACGAAATTATAAAAGGGTCTTGAAATAGCCAACCCTGTGAGGCAAATTACATCGTTTTCGTCCTTCACAAAAACATCCAAGCGATGCTTATACATGTGGTAACATTACCCACAGGATGACAGGATACCATATTCAAAAATAACTTCAGAGGGATTAACTTGAGAATAATGCCAATATGAGAGATTAAATATAATCACCCTTCATCTCCTCTTGCCAACTTTATTATCTCAATTGGCCAGTGTGCTTCAGTTATCTGTTTTGGGCTTTTTCTTTCTTTCATGATCTTCAAAGCATGTAGTTGAAAGAGTCACCAGTGGGTGAGAGAAGTGGGTGTGCTTATGTACACACTGGACGTCTTCCATTGGCATTACGATGAAATAGAAGAGATTGTACTTTACACCATAAACTCTCATATCACTAAACACCTGCTCGTATCTCTATATCAATTTTAGGCGACAGCACTACCCGATCCTTAACGTTAACGTCACGGCTGACAGTGGAAATGGGCATTCTATACTTAGGCTACCTCCTTCTCATATTGACGTCATTGGTAGGCAACTCTCTGCTCATTCATATCATACGTACGAAACACTTTTTGAAGACAGCAACCAATCGTCTTATACTCAATCAAGCATGTGCAGACTTGATTGCCACGTTGACCAGCATGACAGCCATGTTTAGTGATTCCCTCTTTTTCAAAGAGTGGTTTGGTGGAATGAACGGCCTGGTGACCTGTAGGGTCGCCGTTTGGGTATATTTTTTGCCACCGTTTTGTTCCGTATGGACCCTGACAGCAATTACCATTGACCGATATTTTGGGGTAGCTCGGCCCTTGCAGTCTTCTCCGATAACACGTCATATCCGGCTTGTTATTATGGGATTGTGGATCTGGGCAATTGGGTCAGCGGCTGGAATGGAAGTTATGACACACTTAGCGTTCATCGGCAGACATGTTTTCTGCGTAATTGATTATTCGCACGTTACGATGAATGTAGGGAACATAACAGCGCTGTGTTTACTGCGTCTTAACTTTCTTGTACCTCTTCTGGCCATGACTGTCCTATACTCGATCGTGTCTTACCGTTTATGGTCACGTAATCCACCAGGGGAAGGAACCAATCACGACCAAAGACAAGTAGAAGTGATGAAGACAGCCAAGAAAGTTTCCCGGATGATGATTGTTGTTGTGGTTTTGTTTGTTTTGTGTTGGTGTCCATTTCATGTTTTTGTTGGTTTGTATAGCTTACATAAGATCAGTTTGCCGTATCCTGCACTTAAGTTTGTTGTTTGGTTGTCAAACGCTTACAGTGCGATAAATCCGTTAATTTACTTTTCTTTTAACAGTAATTTTAAGCTGGAGTTAAAGGTACTATTTGGAAAATGTTGCAAGAAGCCGAAGTGCTGCACATAGCATTCTTACACAGATCTATATATGTTTTTTTTCCTTGGTTCAATTCCTTGATTCGTATGCCTTATTTAAGTATTAAAAATCAAACTTAAACGACATTTCACAGTCATATGTCGTTGCGTTCAGTCGAGAAAGCAAGAAGGGTAGTGTTAACTCTGAATTACAAATGCTTACCAAATCTAGTTGTCCAACCTTTAAACTCCACGATTAACTCATTGACTGACCGAATGACGGATTGATTGATTGATTGATTGATTGATTGATTGGTCGTGCGGACGGTGGGCATAGGCTTTTCGAAACTTTGAGACATAGAAATACATGAAAGTTTATTAATTTGTTTTCCTAATCAATTTTTTAGTACATCATTCTACGAGCGATCAATACTTTCTGTAGGTAGTTTGGAATAAATAAATCTATTTGCTGGGCTTTGAAAGAATCAAACTAGAGCTTTTAAATCCTAAAACTATGCAATCACATAATATCCTTTCTTAGTTGACCTCGTATCAAATAAAATCTAGTAAAAGATGACATGGACAAAATAAAAAATCATAGATAAATATTAAATACACAAATATGTTTCGGAAACACTTACTATAAATAAACCCTATAGCAAAAACTGTAATACTACAACGCTTATTGCACAATGAAATTACATCAGAATAGGTCTGACATGTCAAGGTACTAACTGGTAAAACACAAATTAAGAAAGAGACTTTTCATCGCAAATATTCACTAGACCTCTAAGAAAACTTGCTCCTCAAATCGCCAACATAACTGAAATGACCTGTTCAAATAAGTAGACCCAAGTAAATCTAATCTATTCTACAATTTCCTTCCGCTAAGAAAGAACATGCTAAATTAAACTTGAACTAAAACTTCACATCATTCGATAGAAACGAAGAACCTACCACACGCTTTTAACGAAATAAGGTGCGAGAAAATAGACTGTATATTTTGATAATCAAAATGAATAATGCTATTTTTTTTCTCTGTCTTCTAAAAGAGAAAAGAACATTTCTCTGTGTTCCTATCCAGCTGTAGAAGCAGTCGTGAAAGTTTGGGAGAACTCAAATAAGTGGTGGCAACACTCACTATTAAGAAACTGACTCGATATACCTAACGTATAAGTACCTCAAGTTTTAACGCCCTCTGGACTATGGCAATAGAGTTATCCTGCTGAAGGAATATCAGTCCCTTGATAGTCTTTAAATCTGAAATTTGGATGGTATTCACAACTACACAATACGCGTTAGCAGTAATATCCAATCAAACACTCCACTCCACGAAAGTACATGTACGTGGTATCCAGCTTAAAGGAGCTACGTCACGGTTTGCACCATCTTGAAAAGTTTAGCCTAAATTTTTCAAGTTCGTCGTATGTAATCCTTACTAATTTTCTCCATCCTTTAACCATCCTTGTTCCTTTATGGTTTAAAATTTTCTCTTTCGTGTTTTTCTATCCTAGTAAAGTATTGTTATCAGGTTTCCTTTAATTTAAAGGTAATTTTTACGAGGCCAAAATAACACAAAATACCTTGACTAAACTCCTTTAATTAAGCGGCAAGAAAATGATTAACGCTTAAAAGTTAGAACATCAATACGGTGGAATCGTAGGCGTTGGAACTAGAAAACGAGTTGTGTCTCTCCCCAGGTTCATTCGGGGACTCGTTACCCAGAAGACCGTTTAGAACTTCATCAAAATCATTGATGGTATTTTCTGCTTCTTTATCATTTTCAATCTCCTTCACCTCCATGACAACAGCTTCCTCTTCCGATTTATCCACGACTCCATAAGGCTCATTAGGAAAAGACGATCGGGAAATTGTCGGCGCGACGTGGAGAAGTTTCGGTTGTTCCTCGGGAGGAGCTTCATCGACGGTAGATCCAAACGTTGGAGGTGGGGCGGGGGTGAAATCGGGAACCGGTGTGGTACCAGCATCGATCTCCTCCAAATTGGTATAAGGCTCGTCGTACAAACTTTCCTGAGAACCCAACGAGATCTTTTTATTCCGGAGCGTGAACGGAGAAGGTGATCTCGGAACAGGATCTTGAATGGGCAGCTCTTCGTTATCGTTCGCCTGTGGAAGCTCGAGATTCCAGTCGATTAAATCCTCACTTTTGACTGGCTCGGTCGCTTCGCTGCTGTTCAGGTCGGACACCGTGATCGTGTCGCTTGAGAAGGTGCTTTCTCCAACGCTCTTGGCATCGTGTTTTTCAGCTGCTGGGTGTGAGTCATCGGGCTCAGCTTCGCCGTTGCTAAATGAACACAAAAATGGAATGAAATGGAAAACAATACATTTCAGAACAATAAGATTAATTTTTCAATGAGAATCAATTTGTTGATTCAAATGATCATACAGCTATTGTCTTGTCTGAGAAGATTGTTTTTCTTTATCTAGTTAACAAAAAATAAAAAATAAACAAGTGAGAAATCATGTCAATTTTTAACAAAACGCCGGTAGGGAACATTTTTTTCCGACACAGAACTTTCATGGTCATCGACCTGTCTGTTGCATGTAACCCATGACCTCTTAGGCTCTTTATTTGGGGGAAAAGCGCAGCATGTACTCGTGGATGGTGGTTGTGTGGGGCTTCAGGCGGGCAAACAAGTCATCTTGTTGCAAATATCTATGAAGTAACACTATTCGTGACTCTAAATAACTAGAAACGTAGTAACTTCGAAACGTCCGTTGCTATGCAACTTCCCGCATGAAAATCGCGTCCTCTCGCAATTCTCAGAGACTAGACTCGAACATAGTTTCTTACGTTTTATTTTTCTGCATTATTGCCGTAAATGGTAAGTGAGTAAATTAATATTCATTATTGGGCCTAATACCGATTCTTCTTTAGAACGTATTTTAGTTTAGTTTAGAACGTATTATTTTAAATCTCCCACAAGATAGAAACTCAAAGCTTGCCAATGGAATCAGTGAATTCATATGAGCGATGTATAGCGTCATAGTAAGCCCAGGCATGAAAGCAGTAAGTTACAACATCAATTACGATGATTCCATGATTTCAAAAGAGCTCGACAACAACGAAACTTAATTAACATGAAAAACGTGTAATCTTGCTCTGATAATAGAAGTGCAGTTTTTGAAAAGGCTGATAGGGAAATAACATTAACACCTCGTGCAAGAACACTTTACAAGTTATTACAGTCTTAATGCATTTTTCTTAAGAAAACAACACTAATTGATAAGTCAACCATAATCTGTTGATCTCATGGGAGGTTAAGCCTGTAATTAATGCCAGTGGTTAAATAAGTCCAACCTCCTCTGCAAAATACCTAACTATAAACAATAGCAATCATAAACCGCATAATAAACTGACAAGTGCTTTGTATCACTACAGTCAGGTGTAAACACCGAAGACAAAATTACAAGGTGAAGAAGAGATTTAAAACAATGTGCAGATACTGAAAATTTCAATTTAGAGAAATCTACAGGGACCAACTAATTGACCTTGTTACAAAAGGCAACTTATAAACACAGTTGTAAACAAGCAGCCGTTACAATAAAAACAAAGGTCCTAACTACAAGCATCTTGTTTCTGTTTACGTTAATTGGCTCCGCCTCGCAGCCGTTTGTTGAAACCGGTCAACCGCAGTGGGACGAGGCTAGAAACGGCCCGTCGGACAGAGAGTAGACTTCGTCTATTGCAGTAGTGCGTACTACTTTACGAATTTGGGATTATCAAAACGCAACTATTAAGCATCAATCCATCAAAAAAGCGAAAGTTTATCATTCTCATCTGGTGCTTAATTCTCACACGTGGCCAACAGTTCAAATACACACCCTGTTGTCAATTTTCCATCATTTTAAAGAGAAAAATACTCAGGTATATTCCAGGGTGCAAGCCTGTATTTTCTGATCTATTTTTTAAGGGCTAGAAGTGTTCTGGCGCCAAAATGGAGTTCGTGAAAGTGTCCAATACCAACTAAGATTTGAAAACGTTTGTACTGGCCAAAAGAAACAGTGTCAAAGTATTATGCAGTGTAGATAGGGAATGCAAATGGAAGCAATGTTGGCATTTGCGAAAACAGGGAAATAAATTCCAGTGGATTAAACGCGATTTGAGCGCATAGCAGCTCCAGAAAGTAACAAACAAAGCGATGCTGTACCTGATTAGAAAAAGGGTGCACATAGTGGGTTCAAGTCAGATCCATAGGTGAAATGAATGTGACGATTGGAGATGACTAGTGAACCTCCACAATGCATGTGAAATTGATGAAGTAATGTGTTCAGAATAACATGGAATGGACCTATGGAAAGCTTGAAAAAGTACCTCGCAAGCCGCACAACACTTAAGCTGATGTGCATTTGAAGAAGAAATGAATTGGTATACAAAAATGACACACGAATGCGTACAAATGGCACCAAAGGAATACATGTACAACACAGTGACGAGGTGGATAATAAAGTCAAGCAAACAACTCTTCAGCCACACACGTTTATTGATTAAAAACTTCGCTCCTATAAAGTCGATAATATCCAATGTAAGATAACTCAGTCGAGAACTGTTTTGCACAGAACGGGAAATTCGCAATAAAATTGTGCAACTGTGCAATAAAATTGATATCGAGGGTTCATTATGTTTTTGGCAAAACCACCAAATTATGAAAATATATTCAAAAAGCAATGCACTTTAGTGTTAGCACTGAATTGCTGATTTTTTTTTTAAAGTAACGTCAAGTAATTTCAAATAAAAACTTAAATTTAAGTATAATATAACCTTTTGGCTTTTACTTTATTTTCTCGATTTTTAGTTCAAAAATAGATAAGTCGGCCGCTTTTTCAACAAACATTACAGATATCCACACAAAAAAGGAACGCTATAGAAATAAGATAACATTGGTTTTCGCACTGCAGTATCGATGACACACCTTCAGAAGAAATAAAATACTTTGTGAGTTACAAAAATAAATGTCATATCTTAGCGGAAAAAATCATGCATGAATAACCCTTTTTCCAGTCTTGAAAATGACTTCAAAAGTGACTAAAAAAGATGATTTTTTATCATTTGTAACAAAGTTTCCAAATATCATGCAATTAACAGCTTGTACCTGTATCCTTCGTCAGATTTTTCGTTTTAGTAAAACCCGTGAGTTGACGTTCACTTTTCATACTCTCAGTTATCATTCAATTCCTATTTTGAACGTTGTATGCAGAGGAATAATGACTGATGAACTGATCTAAAACTGATGGAAGAGATGTGTGAATTGCAGGAAATGGAAGAAATATTGAAAACATTCAAAACGGTTTTAAATGATTTCCCAGAAAGATGGATTTTTTTCCTGTAAAGGATCTCAAAGTTCAAAGGAACCAATAGGTCAAGTTTTGAAAACAAACTAAATGATTGCAAAGGGTTGTCATCCAACGGTCGGCTAGAAAGCAATAGTAAGATGCGTTTCAATAAAATTTGAATCAGAAGAAAAAAAAGCAGAGAAAAGGAAATTTTCGCGATGTTGGAGGACGATTCCCACCTCGGCCATGGAGTCTGGCATTCAATCCAATATGGCCGCCACTTCGACCGTATATTGACTGCAGCGAGCGCCATCTTGAATTTGAGCGCCTAATAAGACCCTAAGGACGAGGTTGGGGTCAAAAGCAACCCTTTGAAACAAGCTTTTGCCATGCAATTTCGCATTAATGCCAACTTTGGTTTTCCCATTTCACTTCCAATGAATGACTAAACCCTTCAACTTACAAGTTAGTTCTTTCATCGTACACGACCACAGGTTCATGATTTGGCCCGTGCGCTCGTCTGGATACTTGGTTGCCCTGTGGGTCGCTGGACACCTTGCGAAATGTTTTCTTGCTTTTGTCCGGCTTTGCGAATGAATCGTTCAGAGTTGTTGATTGGTTGCTTTCAGTGTCACTTGATGATGTCACCTCTTTCTTGCGAAAAGTCTTCTTCTTGGTTTTGTCGACTTTGGCGTACAATTCTTCAAGATTAGGCGGTACCGGGCTTGGACTCGACTTCTTACCAAGGGATTCCCCAATACTTTGATTGAGCTCCTCGTCTGAATCATATCCACTGTTCTCCATCCCCGATATGTCTCTATTCTGATAACCTTCAGAAGTTCTGCTCCCTTCTCCGACATTAACCCTTCCCTCCTCGTTTGCCGGGTTGTAAAGCTTGTTTGTAAAAGACTTGCGACTCCCAGGCGATTCAGAGTCTCGTTCCTCGATAGGAGAGGAGCGGAAAGCAATTGGCGGGAGGGGTCCGAAGGTTGCACAGCCTCCGCCCAGCTCCTCGACACTCGAATACGGTTGATCGTACTGGCTATCCTGTGAAGCTATGGAAGCCTTTTTGTTGCGAAGGTTCGCCAACGGAGCGTGACCTGATGCGTGCGGAGAGCCACGATTCTCTGGGTCAGCGTATTCGTGGCTCGGCTTCACTGGTGAAGGCGAGGCTACACTGCTGTTCCAATCAGAGTCGAACGAATCGCTCGAAACGTTAGAGTCTGCTATACTTGGTTCCTCTTGCACCTCAAGAACCGCGCTGCCAGCTGGGAAACCAGGATACGCTGGTCTGCAATAAGGACAGAGAAAAATAGCAAATATTAAACTGCACGGGGACCTTCTGTAAGATTGAGTCGGTCGAAATGAAAGTTTATTCAATTGGAGAATTGAATTGGTTGAATATAAACTGCTGTGCGAGGCTTTCATGAGACGTTTTCCTTGTAACCATTTCACGTTTCCGGAGCTAACCTATCAGAGCAACTCGGTTTTAATTCTCTGCAAGCGCAACTATCGGACGATTCGCTGGACTCAAAAAAGGGGTCTGACTACAGTTACATTTGTATTTATCATCTAATTGTAAATTCTGATTTAATATGTTTTCTTTTTTTTACCTTCGAACCTTGTTTTAAACTTTATCGTAGATTACCTTTAATTCCTTTTCAAATATTAGTGTAAATGCTTCAACAGAAACTTGCATTATGTTATTTTTCTGTACACGACCTCCTTTAGTTTTGAGTTACTTTATAAGTTTTATGGTTTTCAGTTATCAGGCCTCTGAAAACGTTTAGAAGCATCGTTGCAACTGATTTATTCAACATATTTCCCTTAGAATGTTATCTCGTCATGTTTTCATTAACATTAATCGATAGACTGATTGACTGATGAATTAATTGGTTTAATCGATCGATCGATCGATCGATCGATTGATTGATTGATTGATTGATTGATTGATTGATTGATTGATTGATTGATTGACAGATTGATAATCGACCATTAATTCAAACGAATTATTTAGTAATCACGCGATAGGCGTTTAAAACGAAAATATTTTGTTTGGCCAAGTTTTGTCTTTTACAATTGTTTAGTTTCTTTGAGACATCTTCATTTTTCTTGTGATTATGGAAAGATCTCTCTTAAGATTCCCCTCATCTCACTCTTGATAAAACAAAAAAGTTTACTATCAATGGTTCTTAAAATCTTAAGGATTAGCATTTTAAGACGAGTAGTTTATATATCTAGTTACCTTTACTGTTTACGTTGTCTGAGGAACAGAGAACGATCCCATGATCCTATAGTGGCCGTTGCCACCTAAAGCACTTTACAACCAATGAAAAAATATGTTAGTGACGTCATTCGGGTTACCGTAAGGAGAACACAACTGAACAATAAGTGAAGGTTTAAGATTTCTTTTATCATTTAAGATTACTGTATCAAGGTACAATTGGATTATCTTCTGGGCAGTTATAGTTAAGTAATTCAACGTTACCTTTGTAGAGCGGGAAGGGATGATAAAGTTAAAGACTTATGACACCCAAGATTGTCTTAAGTATTGGGTAGGCGTCAAAGCGTTTGCGTTAACTCTCTAATTCCCAATCTACAGATATCAATTTCCCAAAGAGCTTTTATAGATCTTCTACAACGTTACGTGTACATAAGAATTTGGTAGTTAATTGACACATTCTCATTTACTAATGTCACCTGTCTGCACGACAATACAATGAAAAAAAAAAGAGAAAGAAATAGATGCTGAATGTGGAAGTTACCAAGATGTGGCTATGGTCTACATTTCTTGTTACTGAGGAACAAAAGGCCATGGAAGCTTTACTACTATAAAGTGCAACTTCTTTTGCGAGGAAACAATAAACGAAAATCAAAAAAGGCTGATTGGAGACTTGGAGACAAATGTAATTTATGGACTCAAAGGAACTCCGTCACAGTATTAAGAGATGCTTTTGTCATGTACAAAATTACCTTTCAATTGAAAGAACCCTGAAAATAGTAATTTACTAAGATAGAAAAACACCAAAAAGATTATATTAAACCGCAAAGGAACAAGGATGGTTAAGCATGGAGAAGATTAACACGGATTACAAACGACGAGCTTGAAAAATTTGGACTAAAGTTTTCAAGATGCGCGAACCATGACGTAGCTCCTTTAACTTATTACTGTGGCGTTGTCCAGTCCATCCTCCGAGACCAAGAAAAAGAAACTCAGGTGTCAGAGGATGTAAAGAATCGTTAACTCACCTATCCATTTCATATCCACTTCTGAAATCACGTCGCTTTTTTGATTTCTTGTACGTCGCGGCTACAGCTAAAAAGAATCGGCCATTTTTTTTTTTTAGATATTCCAAAACAACATTGCTAAGAAAAAGCATGTAGTATCTCCCTTAACATAAACAATCCCTTTACTCCTGTTTCTATTCCTGTTTTTATTCCTGTTTTTCTTCCTGTTTTTCTTCCTGTTAAAAACTGTATCAATAGGAAGTCAGCGTTTCTTTGAGACTAAATAAGCTTCATTTTATCAATATTGCGTTCTAGTAGTTATATAACTGTCCTAACTAGCTCTATTTTGAATTCGACGTCGCAACTTAAAACTGAAAGTCGTCCAGTTGAATCATGTCTTCAAATATCAAATATGTCATCCTTCAGTTTTGTTACCCCTGCGAAGTTCACAAACATAAGAAAAAAAGAAATGGTTGTTGAAAAAACCTCCCCTGGCAAAATGGTCTTTCTGCGTTTTTATACAGCTGTTACATTAAGATGATTTCCGCAGAACAGTCGAGCAATACTGGCGAAAATAAATTTACCAAAAAAACCTCATAGCATGGTAATATTTTGAATAAAGGTAAGTAAACCTTGTCAAGACTTTAGCTCCCAAGCTGACCTCGCGAAAGAAAATTTTACTTGAAGATATCCATATTTCAATTAAAACGGACGTTTCGCGTTAGTTGACAGCACCATAAAACACGCAATAAACATTCTTACGAGGTTTGACATTAACTTTCTCGAGAATGCTCGGGGATTTAATCGCGAGGTCACCTAGAGAAATGAATTACAGTGGGATGTTTTAAATAGTATTCAAAAAGTTACTGTGCTGTGAGTAGATTTTTAGTACATAAATTTTGCACTTATTACTCGACCTTTGAGCGGAATCCGTCTTAAGTTTTTCAGGAGAGGCTACTACTTAAACACAAAGAAACATTTCATACCTTTTTGTTCCCTCCAATGCCTACAGCCTAGAAAATACACTGCCGCGATTAAAAGAAACAGCACTATAAGTCCCACGCAGACGATGATAATGACCAGTTGGTCCTCTCCCAGTCCACCTGTTCTCTTCTCTGTCCCGGCGGGGACTACCACAGTTGTAGTGTTTGATTCCTCAGCGGGGGTGGTCTGCGGTTCAGTAGGCGCGGCAGTTGACGGAGGAAGAAGGCCTGCGTTTAACATAAGATCGTAACAATAACCATTAGAAATTAAAAAATGCTAGCAAAAAGTCCTTTCGGCAAGTTACACATCGTTTTCCTGCACCAAGTTTATCACGTTGTTATCGAAACAACTGTTGACATGCATCGAACCGTTACGCGGAAGGATGAAGGCTTGATGTCGAAAAGCACATCGACCACTATGACAAAATGTAATGATGTACACGCAATAACTCGAAGGAAAACAAGATGTTTGCCACTAATAGCTCCGGCTTTCATGCTCTTTGGTATCTTATTGTGAGATGCAATGTTTGAGCTTGGCCATTACTTTACACAGAAGATGTGTGCTCCTACATTCTATGTTTCCTGGTTGGATTTTATTCAGGAAACATCTCCTGTCTTGAGATGTGTATGACAGTATGTCTCGTTCACTTTATCGCAAATTTCCTGTGATTATAGTGAACAAGTAGAGCCTTTTAATGACTATTATTAACGAATGTAATGGACGATGCAATATTCTGCTTTCCCTGTCAAAGCCTATCTGGGAGTCATAGTTGCACTGTCGGAGTTCAAACTAGTCATTTTTTACTTACGTGTCGTAGCATTCACCGCCTTCCCTTGTTTACCAAACCCTTTGCTCGTCCTTGCCGTAACAAATATGTAATAAGTAGTATTGGGAGTCAAGTTGTTTATGTCCACCGTTAACTCTCCATCTGTTGTCAGGCTGCGTGTTGAGTTCTCGTCAGCAATGATGTATGTGACATTATACTGTATGATTCTGCCGTTGGGTTTTTCAGGGGGACGCCATGTGACTGTTATTGTATCGTGATCCACCACTGTCGCAGTCACGTCATTAACTGTACCAGGAACTAAACAGTCAAAAAATAATAACAAATGTGTCTTTACACCATTTTGTCGCCTGAGAAATAAAGTATTTTCATCCCAATCTCCTGGCGTCAGTGTGTTTGAGATTAGAACCGAATCAATCCTTACTAGTCACCTAGCTCCAAGTGCTTACCACAATTTAGCCAATTAAAAAGAGAGGCTAGTCAAATATCTGCAGTGCTACGTCATCAGCGTAACATATGTGAAGCTTGTATGATGTCTACCGCGCGTGAGACGGAATGAATGCGCGACAACAGATTTTTTTTTTTTTTTTTTTTGATGGGAAAAATACCTAACAACAGAAACCACAAAACCTGCAAGAAACAGACCCGCACCTACCCGAGGCAAAGAGTTTCTCTGTGCATATTTACACCCGAAGAAAAAAAAAAACGTTATTCACTAAGTGAATGTGTCTGTGCGCTTATTAGCTAATCTCTGCATCTGCATGTAGTTAGAGCAGGCGTAAAAGTCCAATGACCAGTACAAGCCGATCCAATACATAACCTGTTTCATCCTTTAAAAAAGTCTAGACACTTACAACAAGAAGTTTAACAAACTACCTCCTTCCTGTGTAACCACTGTTTTCACTTCACTTCCATCCCCCATCCCCACACTAGTGGAAGCGGCGACTTTGACAGAATACTCTGTAAACACTGTAAGATTGACCAGCATTACAGAGGAAGCAGTTGTGCTAACAGACAGATATCCTGCATCAGGTAACAAGTTGGACTCTCTGTAAAACACGGTATAACCAACAATGATACCATTGCGCATGAGTGGAAGTGGCTGTGCTATGTAGACCACAATGCTATGCTGGCTGTCAGACACCAGGGTGACATTTGATGGTGGACCAGGTACTGGAAAAAAAAGAAAATGGGATTAGCAGGTTTAACAAGATAAATAGTTGTCATGGTGGTAATTTCGAGACAATTCCACGATTTTAACATACCAGCTTCCAAAGTCCGACCTTGCTCCCAAGGACTCATGGGACCGGTCTGGACCGTGAAGGCCTGGACAGAAACATTGTATATTGTCCATGGAAATAGTTGACGTATTGTAAAATTCAGCGATGTGTCCGTGGAGAAGTTCTTGGCCTCAGAGAATCTGTAAGGACCAACTGCCTTTACGAATATGATGTATTTTCTGACATTGCCATTTGTAAATTCTGAGGGGATACTCTGTTGGAAAAAACATCAATACTGTCAGATATTTATCAAAGATTAAAGTATCGATTTTGCGTAGTAACGAGCAAATCAGTCACAAAATAATCGTAACGGTAAACTATACTTCGCTGCATATCAGGCAACAGGAATTAACGAGAATTCTTACGAGCACAAGAGCCAACGACGGTGGACGAATGTTCAAAACCTTGTTTACGGTCGACAACAAAGATACACAACACCTACATATGTATATGAAGGCTACACCGGTCAAGTTAAAATTCCACTGATGGAACGGATGTTTTAGAAATGTTTGGAAAATCAACAGAAAGCTGTTAAAAAGATATCCAGGTCAATGAAAAACAAAACAGATGTGATCTACAGCTAAACCACTTAGGTTTACCTTCCATTTCACTAAAATTGAAACAGCAGACAATGCTTGAAGTTGGACATCCTGAGGAGGGGCTTCTGGAGCTGAAAACATGACGAGAAAATTGTAATACTGTAAATGTAAAACAAATTGCGTGAAGCCGACACTGTGGGTCCACAATTAACTTATTTACTAACTGGTCAATACTGAAGTAACGTGAACTCGTCGGGTGCTTTAAGAGAATCTACAGAAAGCGTCCCGGTATAAGCCCGTGAAGCTAAAAACGCAGGAGCCCAGTCCAGTTCCCATAACATGAAGCCACTAGGGGTTATTCTCAATTCCCCTGCATAGGTTGCTACCAATGTTGTGCATAGCGGGAGCCCAGCACTGTAGTAACGTTAAACCGACAACTCACCAGTGCCCATTACGCCTAGGTGGCGAGAAGAACTGTGAGAGTAAAGAGCTTAACCCAAGAACTGACAACACAATGACCGCAACCAGGGCTCGAACCCCGAACCCTCGGTCCGGAGTCCAGCACGCTAACAATTAGGCCATCGCGCCTCTATGTTGGTTTAACTTGAAGTCAATTGACTCCAGTGTGAAGGACGGTATTGAAGACATTCCATATTGTTTTGACATCCATGACAAAGTGTTAAAAAATGAGTTTGTGATTAGTCCCCTTTATTCTGCGAAAAAGCATATTAAAGAGAAATGTTCATCAAGGTCAAAGCGTAAATCAAGTAAGTACCTGCTTCACCAGTTGTCACTTCAGCTGCAGCTGAATAGTTTCCCCACATAACATCCATTTCCCCAGTGGCTGCACGAATCCTAAACTGATAGCGAGTGAATGGCTTTAAGCTGCCAATCAAAGTCTTAAGACCAGGAATCTGATCGCCTGATAGCACATCACTCATGACGCCGCTACTACCAACAGTACTGTATTGGATTTCATAGCGAGTGATCTGACCGTTTGGATTATCTGGTCTCTTCCACGTGATGCTGATGGCAGTCGCATTCAAAGATACCGCCACTAGGTTTGTTGGTGGCGAAGGAGCTGAAATAGTGAAAATGAGAGATAAGTGCATCAATACAATAAAGAACTGTGAGAAAATGGTTCGTGGCAAGTCTGACGCGGCATTTCGTCGCGGCTAAGAGACTCTTAAGAGACCGCAAACTCGTTGAGCATCGCGCTAAAAGTCCCGTACGAGCATCGATGTTTACTTTAAAAAAGTCTGCTTTGGGTGTGCCCGTCGCAAACTTGAATCCAAAAACTCTACATTTTCTATCTTGTGGGCCGCATCTCGTTTAGTCGCGGTTTCCTTCTGTAGAGGCAAGACTACCGCCTCAACTGTGAATAGAGATAGTCGGTCTTCCCTGGAGATTTTACAAGAAATACAGGGCTTCAAATAATTTCCCGGCTGGTGCCGGTCAAATTGTCCGGTCAAACCTATTTTCGCTCGGACATATCCCATTTTTGGCCGGACAAACATCGATTACGTCTTTTCGCTATAAAAGTGCCCCCTCCCCCCTTCACATGATGTTTAAATATGAAACAAGTAAATTTTCAAAGCATTTATTGTACATGAGCATCGATCTCAATGCAGGAAAAGTGGAACGCATGGTACAGCAAAATCAGTATCACGTTTGTGCGAAAATTTGCAACAATAGCCGGAAATTTTATGACTATTACATGTACGAATCACTTATCAAAAGTTCTTGGTCTGGTAGTTAAGTATCCGCCTTTTTCCCCTCCTTTTTCACAAACGCCAATAATATTGAACCTTTAAATATTTAAACCTTGAAACTCTAAATTTTTTCCTTACCAGCGTAAACGACCGGACCAATTGTCCGGCCATCTAAGGATTTGACAGGACAAAATCTATTTTTGACCAGACATTGTCCGTTGACCGGCCGTTATTTGAAGCCCCGAAATACATTACCACTCACCATCTTCCAAGGTTCGGTTTGTAACTGTCGCTCCAGGACTTAACCCAACAGCATTCCGCGCAGAAATCTTGAAGGTGTAAGTTGTGTAGGGAGCAAGGTTTCTCACTGTGAATGACGTCGCAAAGATATTCTCCTCCAGCACCATATAACTCCCAGACTCCCTCCTCATTTCTAATTTGTAACCAGTAATAGAACTATGTCCATCAAACCCTGGTCTCCATGACAACTGAATAACGGTAGAGGATCCTGGGATGGCCGATATTGGAAATGGAGCACTAGGAGCCACTGTTTGAAGTAAAACAGGCACAGATTATTGTCATAATTTCAGATTAATTAAATTATTAATTAATCCGTTACGAGTCAGAAACAGACGTACATCTATACATACTCTGATGCGTATAGAAAAGAAATATGATGAGCAAGATAGCTTGCATGACGTTGCCTACTGTTTGTTGATCAAAAAGTTGACGTCAAAACAGTATAAGCAGAGATGTAAACTTTCAATCAAAGCTCACGTTACAAAGTAATAGTCTTCTAATTGATGCCGGGTAGTTGCTGAACGCCTTTCGAAGTGGATACTACACTCTCCTCTTCTCCGATGTAACCTACACTAAGCTTGAAAATTATCTATTAATAGTGGCAGCGTACAGGTAGTTTGCCAATTAATTTTTGATGTCTAAAAGTGATTCAGTTCTTTTCTACTTAAATTTATCATGAGCTGCTGTTAATCCTCTACACATAACAACACTTGTCAATGAAATAGAGTACGAGATAACTTTTCAAATAGTAGGAACATAAGGCGCTTGAATGTCTTACACTAACCTTGTACGGTCAAGTTTCCATGTTTTGACATCCTTCCCGCCGCATTTGAAGCAATGCAGGTGTATACGCCACCGTCAGCTACACTCACGCGATCAATTACAAAAACGCTGCTTGTCACGGACAACAAGACGCTATCTCTGTACCACGTGATCCCAGGCTGGGGAATACCGCTGACTGCACAGGTTAAAGTAGCATTCATTCCGAGCTGAACCAGTCTGGGCACGAAAAATGATGTGATGTCTGGAGCAACTACGGAGAGCAAACAGGAAGTTAACTGAGAGTACATGCAGGTAAGGCAATTTAACGGAGTCAAATGGCTACTCCAGCTTAGTGGTGATGTCTAGTAGAGGATACCAACAAAAGGAACTCGCATGATCATATTTTTTTCATTTCTTTTGTTTGTCCATGCATCTTACTAGGCTCCGAGCTATCAAGCTTGATTTTAATATATTCAAAAGTTCTAGACTCAAGAAATCTAAAGCAGGAAAACCCAGATAAGAGCTGTTCGATAGTGTGCTCTGCAAACGTTCAACGAGCTTTACGGAATTTGCAAAAAATTTTAAAGCGGTATCGGAAGGCACAAAAAATTTAGTTTCCCTCACCTTGCACAAGCAAATAAGCCATTCCCACATGAGAGTTTAGCCCATTACTAATATTACAGCGGTACTGTCCGGTATCACTTGCGACCGTGTTCAAAATTGTCAGGCTGTCTCCACCAATCACAATCCTCCCACCTGCAGCCAACTGCGTCCCACCTTTAAACCACGTGACTACTGGTTTTGGATCACCTGACGCGTTACACCGGAACGAGGCTGAAGATGATTCATTTACAGTCATGTTTACTGGATTCATTTCAAGAGATGCTGGAACTGAAAGTTAAAAAAAATAATAATAATAATTAAAACACTTTAGCACACGTTAGATTTGTTGCTTTACATACAATAGTGACAGTGATCCTTTGAAGAAGTGAAGAAAATGTGATACTGAGGGTGAAGGAATCATGAACTACACTGCGTTTAGGAAAAATGAAAAGATTGTGTCAAACTGCTACGAGTTTACACATTCAAGGACTTAAGAATTCTCTAAAACTCGTTTCAGTGTCTTACATTTTTCAAATGTTGACCTGCATTTTTAATAAAATTCTTGGGTAGAACCCAAACAAAGAATAAACAGGTTAGAGAGGTTCGTTTTTAATAGAGCACCACTGCTTTCTACAAAGGTCAGACTTTCTCGGTTGTATGATTCGAAGAAAGAGCTCGAAAGCATCAACGCAAAAGTTAACATGGAAGACAAGGATAAACGCTACCTAACCATGTAAAGGGACGATAAAAACAAACAGGTTTTACGGAAAAGGATTAAATTTAGCGTTGTTAATTTTTGCGGAAACGTTTTTTTCGGTGGCCTTGAATTGCACATTTCTTTTCTCCCATTACAAACATCGAAAAAGTGAAGTCCTGCCAAAAAAAAGGGTCAAATTACAGCTTAATTACGTATGTAAAAAAAAGTTAGGGTAAAGTCTGTATATGAGCTAAGCGCCCCACACAGCCGGAGCTTATCCCGGTTTCAGTTGCATGAAGCGACGAGAAGTATTTCTACTCCCCCCTGGATGCAATGCCAGCCCATCACAGGGTTACTCCCAGCATTTAATTCGCCGGTATCTTTTTATACACCTGGGTGGAGAGAGGAACTGTAAGAGTCCAGTGTCTTGCCTAAGAACACAACACAGTGTCCCCGGCCAGGGCTCAAACACACTTACTATGAGGCCGATGGTCCTCTTATTTATGGATGCAAGTGCCCATCAAATCCAGTAGTACTTTTGAGTGAATTTGCATCAAATGAATTTGTTAACAGGTGAAATATAAAATTTACCTTTCACTCTCAAATACGCTGATGATTCCAAACTCCCAGCAACATTGACAGCTCTACAAATGTACATTCCTTCATCTTTCTTTAACATTTGCCTGATTTCAAGAGACCCAGCTGTAATGACATAATGATCTGTTTGTGTAAGTTGCACTCTTGATCCTCCAGAAGGCATGTAAAACCACTCAATGTCCGGATTTGGGATTCCATTAAATGAACACCCAAACTTGACTGATTCTCCAACCGTTTTGGTGGCATTTGCAGCAGATGTGACAAGAGATGGCAGAACTTTTAAAAAAGAATAAAACACTTTGTCAATAGTCTCATAACTGACCTAATTAAAAGCCTATAATGTAACTTTGCCCACACTCTACACTTTACACATTGAAGAAGACATTAAGTACAGCTTATTGTCAGAGAAGCAAAAGTCTCTCTCTGCACTATAGTCAAAAGCATATATAAATGTTATAATTAATAAAAGTAGCTCAATCATGGAGTTATTTTGGACATGTACAAAAAATTTTACCTTTAAATTGAAAGAAACCTGAAAATAGTGGCTTACTAGGGTAGGAAAACACCAAAGAGATAATAATAACTCATAAAGGAACACAGATGGTTGAGGATGAAGAAGACTAACATGGAGATTATAACAAACGAACTTGACAAATTTAGGCTAAACTTTTCAAGATGCGAAACCGTGATGTAGCTCCTCTAAGAATTAGTCAGTAAAACATAAATTCCACCCTTACACGTTTACATTTTTTTGTGGTATTTGTACTGGTATGGACTCTTGTGCTTTAGCCACAGACTCTGATTCAAACCCTGTCACTAGTACTAAAAATCACACATACCATAAATAACAACATCTGCAGACAGAGTAGTAGAACCAGCAACATTGCTTGCATTACAGCTGAACTTCCCAGCATCCTGCATGACAGTGGTGGAAATATGCAAGCTTCCATTGGACAACAAGGTCACATCATTAGTATCCACAGGTTCGCCATCTTTATGCCAAGTTAACTTTGGCACTGGGAAGCCTGTGGCCTGACAGTGTAATGTTAGAGGAGAACCTTCAGTGACATTGGTGTCCCTGGGCTGAACTTGAAAAGTAGGTGGAACTAAAATGAAACACAGACTAAATTAATTTCTTTCCAAGGTTTGTGTTCCCATAGCATTACAAGGTTGTGGTCTATGAAAAATATTTACAAGGAGCCCAAAGGTTCCTAACCATGAAATTCTAGGTGCCCAGCACCTAAGCCCACATATGAAAAAGAAACTTTTTTCTAGTCGTGCAAAGGCAAAAGTTAGTCACTTGTGGCATAAGGGCACCCCTAAAACATAGCCCTGCATTGCTCTTACTTCCAAACTTCCACTCGTGTTTCTAAAACTTGATTAAACAGGGGAAATGTTTTCTTCATGACTGTATTTCTTAAACATAATGGTTACCTACCATGCACAGTAACATAGGCCAGTTCCGATGTTCTGGTGGCTTGAAGATCAGAATTTGTTCCATCACAGAAGTACATTCCTTCATCAGATTTTTTAATAGCTGTAAATTTTATTGATCCAGAATTGTCAACAGAAATGCCTCCACCTGGAGTAATTAGCTGATAGTCATGATACCATTGAATTGTGACCTGAACAGGAAAACTGACAGGGGGGACACAGTTCATGCTGACGGCATCACCAACTACAGCTGTCTTGTTGGCTGGATTCTCAACAAAAGCAAAATCAAAATCTAAAATCAGAGGATGAAGAAAAAGGTAACAAAGTTATTGAGTAAGTAAGTATCAACTTTTTTTTTTGAGGGTAGCACATGCATGACAGTAAAAACTGATAAACAGTGACCCTCAAGATCAGTGGCCCTATTAACAGACAACAAATATGCTCCCTCAGTAAATTAATGAAAAGTCAGCGTTGCCACATGTCAGGATGTGAATTTTATGTCAACTATTTGCCAGACACAAACTGAAGGTTTATGTCAAAAAACAAATTTATGGATCATGATCCTCACTGCCAGTGCTAATAGCTATCAAAGAATCAGCAGGCAAGTAATAATAATTATTAAATAACTAATTGTTGTTGCCCTGGATGGGATGTGTGTTATATTAGTTCACTACTCACTGGCATTTGGACAGTTTACCCATCAACACTTCACCAGAATCCATTTATATAAAAAAATTCTCAGAACTGAGTGAAGACGAGATTGATAATATTATTTTGAGGTAGTTTTCTCCTAAATTGAAACAGCGATGAAACATGCCATTTCGTTCATGATGAGTTTTTAACCTCCAGGAGTTCCAACCGACTTTAGGCAAAGAGCCTGGAAACTAGTTTTTCATTGTCTGATGTATTGCCTGGTTACAAAGTTACGGATGTTCCAAGAACGCAACAACGAATTTTGTGTTACAAATAATAGAAACAGATCAAGCATAATATTATGTCAAAGTTGGCATGTATGATATTTAAAAAGTTTATTTTATTAATTAAAAGTGCCTATAACACTTACCGGTAGCAAGTTTCAATGAATTTCGAAAATTTATGTCTGTCTAAGACATTTTGCCAAGAAAAAAAATCCCATTCTTTGTTTCGTCTTTTTTTTTTTGATCGGCGGACAAAATCCCCGAAAAGAGCGCATCTTCTGCCATTTTGAATACAAAAAGTAGCAGTTGAGAGACTGGGTACTAACTAGCTTGTGACGTTGACCCAGTATCACGTCTACAAAGCACTTGGTCATTTCTCACTTGTTTCACTGTGGCAAACTTTAATATGCCAGGTCTACAGATGTGTAGCTGGTGGATGTTCTGCCTTCCCAGAAGTGGAGAAGGGTTTAGTTCCACATGCTACACCTTTCTATAACAATGATTGGCCCGAAGCTAGAAAACTTAGAAAGAAATGGGTCGATTTTGTGAAAAAGAAGAGGGCCAAATGGAAGCCGACCCGAAACTCTTCTTTATCCTCCAGGCATTTAACTGAAGATGACTTCATTCGTCGCTTTACCTTTACTGATGAGACGACTTCAACTTCAACTTCAACTGCTACAGTCACGTATGGGTCAGGGATGTAATTGAACTCCGAATCATCTGGGCAGTATGCTTTGCTCAGAAAGCGAGCCACTTTTCTACATTTGGGCTAATATATTTGGCCGAAAACCTGAGCAGTTTGCTGTGACTCACTACTTCTTTGTTGTTTGTTGTTATCAAGATACCAGGTTGATGTCACAACTCTGACTAGTGCCAATCCACTTTAGGTGTGGTTTTGACTTCAAGAACCGCGACTTCTATCGCATTTCAAAAATCAAGGATAACTTCAAATGTCATTTTTCTGTGTGTTACGGCTTGCACTCACTGTTTACTTTTGAGGAAAAAAAAACTGGCTAAGTGTTATAGGCAGTTTAAAGAGCTTAAACTCTGGGTAAGACCAAACACATTTTCCAGTAAAACACTTGACTGTCTAGATGACAAAATATGTTATTTACTTACATGCAACTCTGAACAACACAGCCCCACTAGAGATTGATCCAGCAGAGTTTGTTCCACTACACACATACTGCCCAGCATACGAATGATTCACAGGTGCCGAAAAGTAAAGAGAACCATTACTTAGAATGTAGCGATCAGACACATTGCTGACTGTCTGTCCATTCATTGTCCAAGATATTATGGGTGGTGGGACACCCAAAATTTGACACTGCATTATGGCTGGCAGATGTTCTGGGACAATCATGTTTGTTGGATGAATGCCAAAATGAGGCTTATCCTGAGAAGCTGTCAAAAGAAAAACACAGATTTACAGTATGTATTGAATATTGTACTACAAAAAAGTCAAAACTAATGACTATTAATTATATTCTCTATCGCTTCAGAGTCAAAGATTTTTAACAATTCAAGCTGACGTATTGTGTAGCAACAATACTGCTCTGAAAACTTTGAGACTCACTACAGGGTTCAAAATAAAACTTAAATTCCAACTTGCCCTTTGGATAAGCACCTCTCAAATTTCGCTTACCCTGGGCAAGGCTTAGTTAAGTTTACATCTTTTTTGAAAAGAAAAGTAACTTGCCCGGCAGGAAATTAAGTGCACTTGTCCCCGAAGACTGGAGGGCACTTTCTTCAAGCCCTGTGCTATTAATGCAGACCAGCATTATGTACGAAAAACTACTGTGTTCAATTAGGATTTTGTTGTTGTTGTTGTTGTCCAATTAGGATTTGATAAATTAAAAAAAAGTATCAATAAAGAGGTATTGCACCTGCATGCAGATCATCTGCCCAATTACAAACTGTCTGGGGTGAGTACTTACGGAGTACTGTTAAATATGCTCTCTTGCTGCTCTGTGGCTGACTGGGCAATAACGGGTTGATAGCCACACACCAGTACCATCCTGCACTAGAGAATGTTATGCTCTTCACAGACAAAGCAGATGATGTTGCCTTTGTACCTAGAATGTGGATTTGACCTGCCACTTCACCTTGGGTGAAGAGATTTCCATCTTTGTACCATTGGATGGATGCATAGGGTAAACTTTCTTCAATGGTACAATCAAATGTTGCTGTCTCTCCGAATCTTTTGGTCACATTAACAGGATGTGCAAGGTATTGAGATTTTATGTCTGCAAAAAAAAAAANCGAGCGGTTGAAATGCGCTTTGGCTTAGGATTTCTGTTTCTACCTTACTCATGAAGATGTTAGCAAATGCTACTGCCATCTTTGTGTCCATGGCTGTGCCATGTATTTGGAGGTAGTTTTTTCCAGCGAACTGGAATGAGTTTTCCTGTAGAATTAGCCTTAACGATTGCTCTAGTAGTGGTGTTGGGATCGGAGGTTTGTTTACGTAGAATGTTTCATATGCTCTGCATACTGTTTGGATTCCCTCCTCTTGTGGTATGTTCGTATAGAAGCTCGTTACGTCCATTGAAACAAGTATAACGTCCGCTGGGACTTTCGTTTTTTCCATGAAATTAATGAAGTCTGTTGAATCTTTGAGATAAGACTTCTGTTGTTTTGCAATAGGCTGAAGTAGTATGTCAAAAACTATATGTTGTTTTAAAATCTGAGAAGAAAACCTTCTACTTGGCAATACCATTTTGTTTTAATGAGAACACGAAATGCCTTGCAGCACACGAAATAGAACTTAGATGGAATAAATTTAATATCCACAAATTTCCGCTTTTCAGCGTAGAAAAAATATTACTTTCGATAAAATTGCCCACAGAAGATAAAATATAACTATTAATCATTTAAATGGGAGAAAGGGTCGCATTCAGTCTAAAATTCCGACTGTTGTTTAGGTTATCTCTTGTATTCATGAAGACAACTGTAAGTTCAAAGGTCATAAACTTCAAGTGAGTACCATAAATATTTTTGGTCGTCTAAATTCGTAGTTTGAGTTGCCCCAACATTTTATTTCACAGAACGATAGAGGAAGCCTTACTCTTTCTATAGAATACCATCTTTACAGCGGAATCCATGTACCAGGTAGGGAGTTTTGCTGTTGAAATTTGCCAAAATCAAGCTTTCTGATAATGCTGTTTAGGAGGGTAAATTTGAAAATTTTTTAAAAATTCAGGTTTGAATCTTTTCCAATTCTAATAACTGTACTTTGTAAAGGAAGGGTCATTGAATTGTGTAATATCGAAATAGATATGATAATTGTTTTAGTTTTCTTACACGAGTCGCAAATACGAAGCACATTTTTCAGTGGTTCGAGGGCTTCTGTAAGGGTGAAAATTAAAAAATCGCTTTACTTAAAAAATATAAATCCAAATGAACTAAAAGATGTATTTTCCTAAATAGTTTCCAGAGGGCTTTCTTGTGAAAAAGTTTGAGGGAATTCAATTTTTGCATTTTGCACACCTATCCGTAGTATTTACTGGAAGTCACTCTTCGTATCCTCTTCAGACCCATGAGGACTCCTGAGGCCAGCCAGAAGACTGTGCCATCCATCACAGTCTGTCGCCAATGTGACAGCAGTACCCCATGAACGTACCTAACTGCACTGTTAAAATCCTTCCCGCAACATACACAGATCAAATTATATACACTGGTCAAATTATTTATGAGGTGGACTGTGGTCAGCTCTTAATGTAGCCAATTTTCAACTGTCATATCATAGCACACCTGTTAATTAGTACAAATGACACAGTGATTTTACCACACAGTGGTAAAACAAGACAGTCAATTTTCAAAAACTATCTTTTGAGAAAAATTAAAATTTACTGAGGTCAAAACTCCCTATCTAACAGACACATCCCATAACTAGACACCTTAGAATGCAAGTGGACAATCAGATATGGTCCCAGCTGTCCTGTGAATACCTGTACAAATGCAACCAGTTTTAACCTCCTAAAGAGGAAATCTGTTTTAACTGGGAACTTAGTCTGGTCATGAGGGTATCCAGTTACAAGAGGTTAATCTTAGTAGCTGTTATAGAGTGTTATACATACAAGCGGCTTGAACTGTCGCTGTCCTGCTGTATATGATAAGCTGAGTGCCTGGAACAGCTGCGCCACAGATGAATGTTCCAATGCTTTGCGCTGGAATACTACTATAATAAAGAGAGCTATTTGCAAACTGTTTCCAAGGTTTGTTAGCAGGATTCAAAAGCCAGGCATCATTATTTTTCCAGGATATGACAACGTTGTCAGGACCACTGTATTGTGCTTGACAGTTGAGGAGAAGAGGTTGTCCAATAGCAACAACATGGTCTGAGGGCTCAATTGTGAAATCTGAAAAAGGGAAATCATGCAGGCCCAGTGCTCAGCAACTTATTTAATTTGCATACAGTATTTCCACCCAGTCAATAAGGCCCTTGTACGCCCGTCTACATGATTATCAGCTTTTGACCAAACTATTACCTACTGATTTACTATTAATGTATACTTTACTGTCCCAGTCAAACAAAGATGTCCAGAAAATGTCAGAAAGTTGAGTCTTTTTCTCTCAAGTACCTTTGTTGGGGGACAGTATTTCAAAATAAACAATACAATTATGTTAGGAGTACTATGTTTTGACACCAAATTTTAAAGTAGTCTCGATTTTAACTCGAGTTTCCGCGTTTCGGAGGGTGCATGGAATGCATGGCAACACATCAATTACTCCTCTCGAATAAAGGAGAAGAAAGGCGAAATCTTCCTAAAGTTTTTCAGCTATTTTCTAATTAAAACTTGTCGCAACTTGTCATGAAACTTTCTATTTTAGAGAGTTGCAAGACATCACACGATCACAATATAAGCTGGTAATTTGATCCCTAGTTACTAAGTTTTTATACCTTATACTTCCGAAAGTGAAGTTTACATAGAAGCTTACTTTTAAGTTTACTTACTAAAACTTGCAGAAGCTGATAGTCTTGCAGAGCATATCGTCGCGATCACCACAGTGTAAAGCAAGGTATTAAAGCTCATTTTAAATAGACTCGCACAGCAAGGGACTTCATCAAACGATCTTGCATAGAATTATAATTAAGAAACGTCACCAGGATAATGGGATGTAGCTTCGATCTTTCGATGTTCTGTCACCACAGTGCAAGCCTTGATTTCGACTACACATCATAAAGATCATATTCCAGACTCGTAAAGACTACATTAGAGGGCAATATCGGTCGGTTGCCAAGGAGAAGAAAGCATGCATCACTTCAGGAATTTTCAATGTTAAGGTTCTTCGGCGCTGGAGGCCAGAGGACGCTTGAATATTGATTAGCAACAATGCGTCTGCGATCAGCCTGCGAGAGGCATATCGGTTGTCGGTTGGTGTTCGACTTGACTTCGGTTTTAGTTCGGGTGTGGTTCAGTTTCGGGTGGTTTGACGTATTACTTAGTGCCAGGTCCAGAAGTGAAAGAAAACACAACGCCGCCAACCCCCTCAAGAAACCCACTTTGGACTAGTAAAAGTACAACGTAATCATTTCTGACTAGTGCATGCATGCGCTCTATTTCCTACCCGAAAATGGTGCATCAGTGTCGGAACAAAAGCACCAGAACAAAACCTGACGTAAGCTGTCATCTTTTGATCTAGTGCTGAGGTAAGACGAAAAATCTTAAACTAAGATTTAAGTTTTTACGGAGTTAAAGCGGAACTGAGCATTAAACCAGGGCAGCCATATACCCGCGAAGCAGCAGAAAACAAACAAAAAAACAAACAAACGAAAACATGCATTCAGATGAAAAGAGGAACAATTACAGGAACAGTGATTTCGCTGGTCGAATCCCAGGCCAACTGGCTTGTGTCATTTCAGCGTGTTGAAGGCCAAGATCCAAGATAAAGGATGACAACTTTAAAAAAGACGACGGAGAGGACAGGTTAAGAGCGAGGATTCTCGCAAGAAAGAAGTACTGGAATTCGAAATTAGAACTAAGATGGCAGCACATATTTATTATAACGTTTATTTAGGTACTGATTTGTCTTGCAAGAGATCTAAAGATCTGTTTAATTGTGAAAACTTTGTCTCTTTTTCTCGAAGGAATCATCAATGAAAATACAGTATGAGAACTATATCGAATTCTATATTTAGACTGATGATATGTCAACAACGCATGATATTGAGCAAGGAAACTCATTTAATATTGCTACTTCAGTTTAACATGTTTCGTCTCAAGAGTTTTCAAGTTTTTCAAAACACTTGAAATATCGGCGGTCTGATATTAGACGTCGGTAAATTTTGAACATGATAGCCGAGAACCTTCCCCAGGATTTTACAAAGAGAATGCCGCGCCGCGCGCGCTGCAGCCGAACTGGGCGTTAATTACTATATCATAGCTCTACATTTTTTGAGCTACTGTATTAGTAATTAACTTAAGTTTTGCAGTTCGCAAACCTCAGCCGCGTCATTAAGGTCGAGGTCTTGACCAGTTTTCTGCTTTTGAGTTAAACTCCATTCATTGTAGACCTTTGGCTAAGTTTAGCTCTAACAGTTATTTTAGCTCCATTTTTTTTTCTTTCCCAGTTAAATTCTGAAAACTTCTAGTTCGACATTTGGACGGAATCTGCCGAACTTGAGAAGTTAATTTATAACTTTGCCTGCGCAGCTTGTTCAATTTCTTGCAATTCGCAAAATCAGTCGAACAATATTTCGTCCACGAAACTCCGGTTTGGGAAATTGAGGGTTTACAAAAATAGCTCCTAGAAGGCGAGTTATTTCTAGAATCTATGCAATCGACTTCATCCTAAATCCAATAAAATTATCATAGAAAGAATTCAGACCTGACTTAACGGTAAGTTCGAGTTGGTTCTTTCAAATTCTTCGCTCGCAATTAGCCATTGTATTTGCGTATCTGAATGTCGCAAGCAATTTAAATAAACTGTTACTGAACATTGTAAATGTCTAAAAAAGGCAAAAAGTGGCTCGTTTTAGAGAAGTTATGGGAAAAATGCAAATCAATATAACTGTCGCAGTTTTGTTTGCCGTTGTTTGCTTTAAAAATGTCAATGATCGTTAACTTATACGTGTTATACAGTTCACGAATGCTTCCGTAGTGTTTCCATTTGACATCAAGGAAACACTGTTTAAATCAGTAGGGGAGCACAAAGGAAATAACTGAAGAACGAACTCTTTGTTAAGAAAACAACAATTCTTCCAAGTCAATGGAAATAATAACGCTATGATGGCCTTAATTTTCAATTGACCACTCTTTTTATGGGCTTATGAGGACATTGTAGGTCTTTTGTGTCATCTGACAACAGACGTGGCGCGCCACAGTTCACGACGCTATCAATGATTGGTTGACTATACAGTAAATTGTTATGCTAACCAATGATTGGTCACGTCTCGCTGCTCCAAACAGCTGCTACACAAAGACCAATATATTCAGCAATATGTTTAGTCTTACAAGTGACACAGGAGGCGAACGTCTGTGGAGCAAAACAAAATTTACTTTTTACCCTACTCTCGCGCGAATGATGTATGTATGTATTGGAAAGGGCGGGTGCCGAACAAACCGCCGTCGCTCGCCCCAGTATGGTGACATGGTCCCTGTCTCGCCGTCAAAAATTAAGCAGAAGCGAGGCAAAAAGATGGAAGACTACAGCGCGTTAAACGGGAATTATCCTTCACCGGATGATTCGCGAACAAACTATAATTTTCAAGGGGATTTCGCCGCAAACGCTAGCGTACTTTCGCTGGATGTCAACGACAATCACAGAATTCTTCGTTCTCCATCGCCATCAAAATCTACCACGCTGCCTCGTCGAAGTCATGGGAAAACACCGCCTCAAAAACCTCCCCGCGGATTGCCGCCGAAGCCTCCTCGCTTAATGGAAAGAAAACTTTTTACTTGCGAAAATCCTACATGTCAAAAACAGGAGGAACTCTTGGGAATCGTCGCTTTGGATTTCAAATCTTGCCCCTCATGTTTTACTCACTACTGTTGTATCGAATGCCGAAAGGCTCACTGGAACGAGCATCGAGTTGTGTGCCACTATGGGCAAGTTGATAGCCACATAAAATCGATTATTAATATGTGCAATGAAAATCGCGACTTGCTGTACCATTTGACTGAAATTGCGCGTGAGGGCTTCATAGCGAAAGGACGCGGAGCTGTTATGCTTATCCTTCTCTCTCCGAAAGCCGCAGAACTTTTCATAAAAAGCGGTGTAGAGTATTTTCGTAATCCTAGAAACACGCCAACTTTTTCTTCGTATCAAGAACTTAAAGACGCCGGAGTTTATTCAAAACACCAGAAAATGCTTCTTGGTCTATTAAATAGTTACTGCCCGGCTCAAGAAATGATTCTGAACATTGCGGTGGTCGTTGGCAAAAATCTCCCCAAGATTCCAATACCTCGAAATAAAGAACCTGCGGTTATTTCGCAAGTTAAGGTTCCGTTCACGAATAGAAAAGCATCCAGGACATTTAGCCCGCAGAACAGCCAAGATTTTGACATTTGCACCTACAATGCTAGAGATAACGCTAGAAGAAAATCTTTTTAAAACTGTAAACAGGATTTTATTGTCGCTGTAGCAGTTTTTATGCGTGATTGCTGTCAAACACTAAGATTGTGTTATTTTATTTTGTCATCTATGAATAAATCATGCTTTTAGTTTACAAGCCGTCTAGTAATAAAATCAAGAAAGCTAACTTCCCCGCGGGGAGAGCTTGTATTTTCAACGCGCAACGAACACTGTCAAAACCACTTGTTTTGAAATCTTTTTCTCATTATAGACAAAAAATCGTCTGAGAATATCACAACTTATAGCGCAAATTTGCGCCAAATTCAGTAGAACAAAAATGTTGGCGGCTGTCTATTTTTGCAGCACAAAAATACATGTTCACTTTTAAAAATAGCGAAAATACAAGGGGAAAGATATTTTGCGAATGACAACATCACTCGACCAGTCTATTAAATAATTAAAGAGGGTGGGAATTTGCATACTCACTGGAGGGGAAAATTATTTTCATTTCTACGCTAAATGCGTTACTGACGTAAATATTGTGACAAAAACGGAAACATAACAAATACAGGTATAAGGTTTGTCTGATGAAAACAGAGATGTTTTCTTCGACTATATATTAATTTGTTTCTTTGTATATGAGAAGGAAATGTTGTTTTCGGCTTAGAACTCAGAGATCGATCGATCGATCATGTTAGTTTTCGCGGCCTGTTTTTTCTGTTGTCTCTGAACTTACTAACGTTTCTTAATTGGGGGTGTGCTCTAAAGCGCGCATGACAACAGCCACGTTCAAATTTGAAAGATACAGGATCAAAATTTTATGAATAAACGAAAATCAAGAAAGAGTTGGCTCTGATTGAGCATATTGAGAAGGAGCGTTCAATAACTGAACAAATGAAATTGAGAAAATGAATGCATGACGTTTTACAAAGATCAGTTCAATTCAAGCTGACATGTTAGGCCCAGTTCAGACGCCGAACTTTTCATGAGCCGAACTTAATTCGAATTTGGACTGACCCAAATTATCAAAACTGCACCTGTTGATTCAGACGTCGAACTTGATTCGTCAGCGATTTTCAGGCAAAGTGAAAACTGCTTGGAAAAAACGTTATAATAATTTATGCATTAGCTTCGGCTGACATCTGAATCAAAGCCGTTCCAAAGCCGAAATTCCCTGTTGAGCTAGGCGGGAAGAACGGCTGGGCCGTTCCAAATTCAAATAGCCGTTCCTAACTGATTCAGACACCGAACTTTTCATGTACTTAATTCGATGTATTTGGTTCGGCTTATGAAAAGTTCGGCGTCTGAACTGGGCCTTACTCACTGAAACAATTTTTTTGCGGGAAAACTTGTCGAAAAGAAAAGCAATTTTAACACGTTAGTATGTCATGAATTCTCTTAAACTCACGAAACTGCTTTTATTTTGTTCGACGTGTCAAGGAAAAATAGCAGCTGCTTCCTGTCAGTTTGGTCTTTCGCACCAAATTGAAACTGTAGAAGATGAATATGTCCTGAAGGTAAACGAAATTAATTGTGACATTGTCTTTCCTGTGTTTTGCATCGTGCATCTACTGGACAAAAACATAGCTGAAATTATGCGGTGCAAATGTTTTCATTATGACAGCTAGGGGCCAGGGGACTTGTGTATGTAGGGTTTCATAGTATAGTGAACTTTTCTAAATTTGGGACACTTCAACCAAAAAGTTAGGACATATTGGGTATTCTGTAATAATAGAGGAGTTTAGTTGACCATGAAAATTGAAGGATATACATTTTACCCGTAAATTATCAGCTTTACCGCCTGTGTTCGGCGAACAAATTAAAAGGAAAACACATAACCGATAAAGAACAAACATAATCTGACGCACTTTGGAATATTAATGGCATAATTCAAAAAGCCATAATTGTGTGCATTTCGTGTAATAAAACAAACAGGAATTGAAAACATTTCCCGAACTCAAGCGGTTTAACTGAAGTACTTAACCTGAAACCTACGATGTTATTAACAAACGAAGTACAAATTACAGCTATAGAGCGTCGTTTTTCGATTGATGAAACAAAATTCGTCAGTCTCAGTAGGTAATTTAGAAAAATGACAGTTTGGGACAGTTTGTAACCGTCCTTTTGGGGTGTCAAAATAAACTCAAAAACTCAAAGTATTTGGTAAATAAGACCCACTGGGTTTTTGAAGTCGAATGAATAAATTTTGAATTTAATAGCTCTTTCTATGAAGGCCTTTTTAATTCTTAATTTCAGTTGTTAATTTTTCTATTTTGACTGAAATACAGTTTTGTGAAGTAAATGATTAGAAATGCAGTGAGTGGCTCATGTAATGATATATTAAGTACGGTGTCCCGTGAATACTAGGACCGAAGTCCATAGGAAGAAATTCGCAAATTAAGCTAACAAGCAGGCGATATAGTATGTCTCATGAGCCGGAGTAAGAGATCATTTTGTGATAATACGAGTACTTATTAACTGACCAGGAGGTCCGGACGGAAATCTTTATTGGTTAGCGGTCATGACGTATAGACCTCCGGAAAACAGTAAGAGTCGAAAGTGAGGAGACAGAGTTGAATAGCGTTAGCTGGCTACAGTAGCACGCAATAAAAACACATGACCCTTTTATAATACGGTCGGACATAATTGTGAAATGATGTCTTCACGATACATAAACAAAACACGCGGAATTGTACGCACATTAAACCAATATTGACCAACATTTTGTCGCCGCGCCCACTCGGAATGTGGATTTGTTATCCAGCAATGACGTGACGGGGCTCTAAAAGGACCTTATTGGGGCAGAAAAATAGTCACTGTCGACCCGAATTACATACATGTAGCAGGAACTGAAGCCAGTCAGAAACTCGAAGAATAAAAATGCATGCAAATTGAGCCAAGCGTAGGAATTGAGAACGCCAGGAAGCATACAATAGTCACGTTCAGTTTTTGTAAATTCATTCCTGTTTGATAACGTGGAAAGAATTTAAGACAGCGTCCATTCTAGGCAGAAGAATTTGAAAACGCAACTTTATTTCACAGTTAGGCCTACCGTCCACACTAATCCGTCACGACAACGGAGCTTTTCGAGAACGCTCTTCAAACCGGAGGCTGTTTGAAAACGTTTTCGTGTGGACGGTAAACATTTTGAAAACGGGACTTTTCGAAAACGATGCGTCACGATCATCATGTGATTTTCCTTGACCGAGTTTTTCTCAAACACAAATCCAAAATGACCGGTTGCGTTTTCAAATTCCTCCGGCATAGTGTGTCCGAAAAACATTTGATGCGTTTTCAGAGTGAAACCTTCGTTTTCAAATTCCGCCGGCGCATTGTGGACGAGGCCAAAACGTCTTAGTTTCCATCGCTCAACTACTTGAAGAGAAGACCAAACGCAAGACCAAACACAATGATGTTGATATCGCCAGTTGAAAACCGCTAATGAAATGCGGAAAACAAGCAAACCTCTCTTATATATAAACCACTCGTTTTTCCTTATTTTTGACATTTCGTAAAATAAAAACTCTCCGCACTAGAAATCGTTAGTGTAAATAGCCTATCAATATGAATTCAAACCTTTGGAGATGTCATGTAAGATTCACCAATAGTACCATATCGTAGAACGGTTATTCAATTTTTCTCTAATTCGAGTTTCAGTGACGTAACATGACAGTGCAGTTATGACATGCAGTTGTCCTAAGGTCAAGGGGAAGTTGAAAGGTTTTGTCAACTTTGAACAATCCTTAAGTTAAAAAAAAGTGGAAAAGAAAAACAAAGAATTCTATAACAATGTAATATTTATTTCATTTAGGTGTTTACAATGACTGATGTTAATCATCAGTTACCCAAACAGATTACATAGCAATCGGACCTATTTACAAAATCTATCGTACGAGGGCAGAGCTGACCATAAAAAAAGATGATAGCTACCTTAAAATTCCCGGGCTCTTTACAATTCTTGCATACTGAAAATTATACATGGAAAATAAATTATGTGTTACGAGTGGAATTAGCGTTAAAGAACGATATGCTTGTAAGTTAGTGTTCTGCTAATTTATCACGAAACATTTGTTTACCGTAATTAAAAGCCCTAACTCTTGAGTAAGCCCTTTTCAAAGCCACAGCGAAGTTGTTTAATGCTAAGGGCTTACACACGGGATACCAGGGTAATCGGCAATTCAACAGGTCTTTCCAAAGTTGTTTGTGTAAGCTTGCTATTGAAAAATATATATTTAAGAAACTATTTGTTCAGGCACTGTCTTATTAAAGATCAGGGACTTTGCATGATCTACAACTTCCATGGGGATTTGTAAGACCACACAATCGATTTGTAATTATAATTCATACATAGTTTATTTCGGTTGGAACTTGGTGTTCAGTGGAACCTATTGGTTATAGCTCAAGATCGGCCAAGGAACTTTTGGTATACAACGGTGCCTCCTTAAAATTTCCCAGATTCATCATAACCCGAAATTTATAACATTCAAACGCCCTCTAAAACCATGTGTTAAAATGTCGCCTATATTTTAATCTCGATAATCCTCTAAAAAATCAAAAAAATCAAAATACAGTACATACAATAATTGAAAACCGGTACGCCTTATAAACCCCTGGCCAACAACGATTTGATTATTACAATTAAGACTTGAACTCATAATGGTTATTCAGCTCGTCAGACAAATAAATCGTACAATGTAAGCCAGGCCACTATCGCGCTTTTAATGAAAAGTTTATTCATTGTTAAACTACACTGACGCGCCGTGTCTGGCTTTAGTGGCTTGAACACCACCAAAAATCTAACAAAAACATTTGCAAATAGATCTCTGTTAATTAAGCGAGTTTCAGACAGGATACTTTGAAAGAAGATTAATTCGTAATCCTTACCTAGGATTAGTAGTTCCTAGTCCATCTCCAGACAGATGGAATCCGAAACGCCAGTTCCTGACCAAGCAAGTGCCTTACAAGCACTGAAATTCATTGTCCTTCGATCCAGCTTTGCGACTTCCGGTGCTACCGGAATACCGGAAGTCACAAAGGGGAGAGGGACTGGAGGTTGGTATAGAATTCACAAGGAGGACAATCCGATGAATAACTCGGCGCTGCATGATAGTTTAATCATATTATAATGACCAAATATATTTATCGAAATATATTTTTGTTGCGTATGCGAAAAAGCTCGCGGCTGGAATTCAACTAGTGGATGCTATGTATAACATTTGAATGTTCGCCTCGAGGATTTTATGCTACTTATGGTTTTGAGATATCTACACAGCTTTGTTGACATAATATATGTGACTCACTAAGTCCTATTTTGGAAATCAAAATTTACTTTAATGAATTTATCTTATTTGCAAAAAAACCGTGGTAAGGTCAACCCTTACGTTTCGACTGCGTGGAGATCTATCAGTAGAATAAAACAGCTATAGGAAAGATGATTTGATTAAATGAATAGTAGATTTTGGATAATTATCTGTAGCGTCTACGACACGAACGTGACTTTGCGCGAGACACACGTGGCGAGCGCATGACCGCGCGCGCGTGTCTTGCCCTTTGCACTATGATTACGAAAATCTTCTAAATTAATGTGCCTGACCTGCAGGCTACTCTGCCCTTCAACGGAGAATTTCCGTCACAAAACGACTACCCTAGAATATATACTTAAGCCTGATTATCTGACTTCGTTTGAACTCTGGCGCAGTTAGATAAAAGAATTTAGCTTTCGTCAAGAAAGTGTTTCGTGAACAGTGTTACAGTGTAATCAATAGCACGGAATTTATTGAATTTTAATCTCCGCCAGGATTAACGGTATAGGAGAGCATTTATTAACAAATCATTCAAATCGGTTTGATCGATTATTAAGGTTGTCTTGGTCGTTATTTGATAATATTATAAAAGCTTATAATCACAATTTCAGATTGATACATTAATACTGTAGTTTCCAGGAATTTGATTGTATTAAAGCAATGAAAAACTGCTTTAAGGTGTGATAAAGAAGTTAAACTGTAGAAATAATACACGAGACTTGCGATGAAATTGTTAAGAAACGCCTAACGTTATTGACCCAGGCGTATAGAACTTTACCATAACGTAAATATGTTTACGACGCAAAATAATTGAGAAAAATCTAACCGTGGCGGTTATTAAACTAAAGCAAGCACCACTGGACAAAAATTGATACACTGGGATGATAAAATGGCACTATAAAAGCTAGCAGAGTGTTTTAATGAAACAAAATCGTACACTGAACTTCCCTAAGAAATAAAATCGAAGACTCCCTTAAAGTAGTAGCGTTTCCATGTCTTACAAGAAAACAACACTGAAATCCTTAAATCATGTAAAAACACTCAAAATAATGACCCTTAAAGGTCGGTAAGCCCCAAAATGATAAAATTGAAGACAATTTAAAGCAATATTGTAAAGTACTCTCAATAAGTGTGTAAAAAAACTAAAAAGTAAATCGTGTAAATTATGAGTTAATTGACCTTGACAATCAGGTGCTGCGCGGGCAATCTTGTCAGCAGTGACATGCTTGTCACGGTAGCTTCAAGTAAGCGACCTTTCTGGTATACCTGAACTGTTGTGACACAATGAATGCTACGTATTAAACGACCTGCATGATGTTCCTTTGAGGGAGCACTTTCTGAAGAAGGGCTTTAAAAATGCATTCTTTACTCACTGTCACACGAGGTAGTCAATTCTACAAAATAAAAGAAAAAGAAATTTAGAATAAAGACCATCTTATACATAGTTCACTTTAACAAGATCACCCACTAAAACATTACAATTCAATTACGAGCCCATCTCTAAGGTAATTAGAAAATAGACACATCACACGAGTACACGAGAAAAGTTGTGAAACACAAGCTACCGAATTTGTTGGCCAATTCCTAGCTCTCTCGATGAGACACAAAAAGGTAGCTGAATTTAATGTTCCCGGGTCTCGGCCTTATATTGCTAAATGTAAACAACTCCATTCCCTTCAGGTGCGTCACAGAGGAAAGTAGGCTTAAGACACCTGGAATATTAGACAATGTCCCGTTATCACCTTGGGCACGCGCACTAAACTGGATCCTTCATCAACGCAATGGTCCTTAAAGTATGGGACCTTAATTATATAGCTAGTTCCGTGAGCGGACAAGATGAATCGAATCCTGCGCCGTGATATACTACCCGAGCAGGCAAGATGGCGCTACCTTGTCCCGGCGCAAGACGATAGTGTTCGCTTTCTATATAAATCACCAAGCTTTGTTCGGTGAAGATGGCTGGAGTTTGGCTCGGTTTTTTTTTCCCGTTTTTAAGTTTATGGACCGAGACAGAATCGAGGTTCATAAACACGCAACAACAACAACAACAACAACAACAACAAAAAACAGAACGAGGCCAATAACCAGCCACCTTGACCTCACCCTTGGTCAATAAACCATAAGTATTACTCAGAAAAGCATTTGGTGGAAAATTCCAAAAAAAGAAAACTGAATTACCTTGTGATTCAATTTTAAAGCTCTCCTCATTTCTTTCCGTCGTCACCAGCCTCAGGCATGATTTTACACATCACAATCTTCTTGCCCTGGTTGCCATAGACAGTAAGGGGCTCTTTGAATCGGATGTTCTGGTCGACGTAAAGGCAAAGTTTCTCATACACATCGGGATAGTCGTTTTTCAGTCGGATTCCATACTGTTTCAAATTCTTGGAAATGTTTCTGCAGTAATGTCTTCGCGCTTCGTTCTCGTTTACGAATTCATGTCGAGCGCACTTCGGCAAGTAAAACAGCTTCGTTTCAGTTTTTGGGTCGCTCGGAGAAGACGAGACATCCTCTTTGAGCTTGCTACTAAAGGGAATCTTGATCACTTGAAGAACGGTAGTCACTTTCCTCCGCGGAACAGGATTCGCTGGAAGGTTCTCCATCTTACCAGCAATGATGGCGAGATTGAGGACGAATTCCCCCTCGGGGTCGTAGTCCCTGATATTCTGAATTAAAGCCACCCTGTGCTTGCTCACCACACCTTCCGCCTGTAAATCCTGCAAGGATGAGTACGTTGGAGGACTGGGGAAAAACGAGCAACCGGTGGTCATGAATTTGCGCGCCGACTGCGCAGACGCGAACGTTACCAGCACACAGCCACGCCCTTTCCTTTTGAATCCTTCTTTGGCCGCCTTAGAGAGCTGGAATGTCAGAGCTTCTTTCTTGTGGCAGAGATAAATGAAGGAGCGAATATAGCTGTTGATACGACCGAAGAAGCAAACCTTCTTGTGTTCCGACCAGTGAATCCGCCTGCAGTTCCTTGTGCAGTAATATGTGAAACAAGCGGGGCAAGATGTATAAGTGGTTTTCTCGCCCGGTAACAAAACCTCCTCTTGCTCGCATCGAGGATTGGAACACTTCACAGTAGTCGTTGAGCCTCGCCGCATTCCCCAGTAAGGGACCTCCCCAGCAAACGAGAATTCCGACATTGGGCTCTGAGGGCGCGTTGACAACGACGACACCGAGATATCATCAGGAAAGTCTCTCTCCCCCGCTAATGACATGAAACTGGCGTCGATGTTGGATCCGGGTTGAAAACGATTTGAGGGATACAGGAAAAGATCTGAAGTCATAAGATCGTCCTCATCTTGCTGTTCATTAGAATCCATCCAGGCGTTTTGACTGAGCCACTTGCGTGTATGAGCGCTCAATCCCCGTAAAAACGGAGAGTCGTTTATCGGGTGCTGTCTTTTTGTCAAGTCCGGCATTGATTTTCGACTATCCGCGGCGTCCTTAAAACGCTGTTGGTCTATATGGAGTCCTGGCATTATCTGAACGTCCTGGACACTAGTTCCTAGTCCCTTCTTTTGTAAGCTAGGCCCCGGTCCTTTAGTTTGTGCACTAGGTTCCTCATCGGACTTAGGAGCGGATTTTTCCTCCGACCTCGCACGAGGGCGGCGGACTTTTGTCGTTCGCGAAAGAGAAATAAAGGCCGAAGTAAACTTGGTTAGCGTCTCCTTTGCCGCAGGAGGAGATCGTTCGGGTGTTTTATACGAGGACGATTCCTCCCGTGAAACTTCGCTCGCTCTGATTTCCGGCGTGCTTGAACCAGATGAAGTAGCGGCCTTTTCATTCTCTAGCTCGACAACAGGTGTGGCAGTTTTAGAAGATCCACTTGACTCGGTGCGATTTCGGGCTCCGATGTTAGCGGCTTCGAGAGCTGCCCTTGTTTGCCGATGGCGAGGTTTCAGCGGCAGGCTGCTCACAGATGACGTTTCGGAGTCAGCATCGCTGCTGTGTTTCCGCACAGAGTTGCCGTGACTATTAGGGAAACCGTAAGGTGGGTAATCCTCAAAGAAAACTTCATCCAGCTCGTCATCGTCATAACCATCGTTGACTAGAAAAGCTGAAATCACGTTCGATTCCTCGTTACTGGCTGCCTCCGTGACAATCACAGGTTCGATGACAATAGGTTCTTCTGATTTGACGTGATGTATAACCAGATTTTCATCGTCGTCTTGCTCGTTACTGTTGATACGGACGGCTTTTTGAGGAACAGGTTCCATCCGCGCCCACACATGAACTTTCTCTGTGACTTCATGGGTTTCAGGGCTTTGTGGTCGCGGCTTCTCCTCTGTGACTGCAGCAGTTTGTTGAGCTAGTAAAGCGTCTAAATCTGTAACCATAATTCGGCTCTCTCCCAGAATTTCTCCGTCAAATGCATCCTCGATGCTGCTTAAGCTGCTTACGCTACGCTCGTTAACACCTCCCAGAGTAGAAACAGGATCAGAACGAACGCTGCCAAGGGTGTTAAACGCACTCGGAGTTCCGGCGTCATTATCCTTTATCTCTAAGCTTCCGTATCCAGACTCCCGACCCTGTCTGTAACGGACTTCTCTTATGGGCGATATCTGCGATACACGAGCTTCAATTTCACGTTCATCTCTCAGCTTTGGCAGTGTTTCCACTGTTGGCGATAAACGAGGTCGAGAAAATCTGTCCTCAGTTTGTGGCGGGACTTCCTCTGCAGGAGTTACACGTGCAACCCGGACTTTGATGGTGTTTCCCTTGGTTGCAGAATCTGAAATTTCTGTAACAGTCTCTCGCTCTAGCCACGGGATAGCTTCAACAACGGGCGACACAATCGGCGCACTAATTATTCTCTCCTGTGCCCTGTTTTCCTCGCTGCCATCGACGTCCTCGCGTTCTACCCGAGGTTTGGACTCCCTTGAAGATATCTGTGTCACACGAGCTTTAAATTCTCGCCTTGAAGTCTCTTTGTCTCTAATTTCTGTTACGTTCTCGTCACTTTGTGCTTCTCCCTCTTCCAATACTGGCATCACTCTGGCTTTAATTATTCTGGTCGGTGCGTCTTTTTCTGTCACAGATTCAAGATCTTGCAGTGCTGTCACTTTGAGAATGGGTGATCTTCGAGGTGAAACAACTTGTTCCTCAGATATTGATTCTTCCATTTCAGGCAGTGACTTGCGGCGCGTTTTAACCTCCAATACAGGCAAAACCGTCGGACCCTTACGCCCTTCAACTTTTTTTTCTTCCTCGGCAAAACTCGCCAGTGCGTTTCCCAAATCGCTACGTCTTCGGGGCGGCGTCACCGCCATTTTGATCGAATCAAGATCACTCAGGGACTTCCATCTCGCCTTTCCATGAACCTTCTTCTTCACGTTCAAAATAAGAATCCTTTGCTTGTCGCCTACGACCTCTTGAACAGTGATTTTAGCGGTATGAATAGAATCTGGCTCGATTAACTCTTTCACATCGTCCTCGGGAACACTTTGGCCAGCCTGGACGTTGTGCGTAGCAGGCTCCTCTTCTTGGATAATATCCTGCATTTCTCCCGGCGCTCTTTCAACAAACCTGAGATCTTCATGGCTCTTGCTGAGTCGTATGTTGCGAGATGCGAGGTAGGTCTTTCGAGGTTTCTTCTCCCAAGGTGTCGGCGACATCCTCGTCGGAGAGCGGACTCTTCTGCCTTCTCTATCCTCTTGCGAATCTTTTCCCTGAATGCTTATTGTAACAGGAGGTGACTCGGGTGACTGAACTTCAGTTTCTTCAGTTAAAGCAGGTTCTTCGCTGGAGCTCGGAGACAACATGCCATTTTCACTTGCAGTTTTTGAATCTTCTTTGCGCCTCTTTCCCGATATAAACAATTTCAATCCAACATTTGATCTCTTGGGTTTTGCTTGAATGTCGTCTTTTGTAACAGTCTTAGATACTTTATCCGTACGGTCACTTTTTGTTTGATCGTTTTGTGCGGGTACTTTCACAAAATCTTTCACGATCTCACGTTCTGAGGAGACGGCTTCAACGGACGACGCTCTGGCCTTGATCTCTGGTGTTATTTTTGGTTCGAGTTTAGCTTCCAGTAAAATGTCATCCTTTTGCGCAGGTGTTTGCGCAACATCGTTCGTGATGCCACGTTTTGGGGCGACGGCCTCCACAGATGACGCCGTCGTCTTGATAGCAGCTGGCGTCGATGTCGTGTCGGGTTTAGCGTCAATTTGCGTTTGATCGCTCTCTGCAGGGAGTCTCTCGACATATGCTGTGACGTCACGTTTTATGACGTCTTCTTTGACCGATGACACTGTCGTTTTGATAGTCGCCGACGTCGGTTTCGAGTCGGGTTTAGCGTCAATTTGTGTTTGATCGCTCTGTTCAGGGAGTCTCTCAACATACGCCGTGACGTCACGTTTTATGACGTCTTCTTGCACAGATGACGCTGTCGTCTTGATAGTCGCTGGTGTCGATTTCGAGTCGGGATTAGCGTCAATTTGCGTTTGATCGCTCTGTGCAGGGAGTCTCTTCACATATTCCTTAACGTTAGCTTTTATGATGTTTTCTTTCACAGGTAACGTTCTCGCCTGTATGGTGTCTGGCGTCGATTTCAGCTCGGGTTTAACGTCGTCATTAGTCGCATCACTCTCGGGAGGAAGGTTCTCGACGTACTCCTTGAGGACAAGTTTAGGGGTGTCTGCTTTCAAAGATGACTCATTTACCTGGACAGTCTCAGGCGTAGATTTCGACTCGGGTTTAACGTCGGCATTCGTGAGATCACTCTCGGCAGGAAGATTCTCGACGCACTCCGTGAAGACGACTTTAGGGGTGTCTTCTTTCAAAGACACCTCATTCGCCTGTATAGTCTCAGGGGTGGATTTCGACTCGATTGTCATTTGATCGCTCTGTACAGGAATGTTTTCGAGCTGCTGCGTCACGTCACGTTTTGAGACGTCTTGTTCAACAGATGAAGATCTCGCTTCGATAGTCCTTGGTGTCGATTTGGACTGTGGTTTTGCGACGATTGTCGTTTGATCGCTCTCTACAGGAATTGTTTCCAAATTCTGCGTCACGTCAGGTGTTGGTACGTCTTCTTCCACAAATGACTTTCTCATCTGGATGGTCTCTGGCGTCGATTGCGAGTCAGGCTTGGCGTCACGATTTGTCTGACCGAGTTTCTTGACGTACTGCGTGACGCCAAGTTTTGGGATGTGTTCTTTCACAGGTGTCGTTTTCACCTGGTTGGCTTCCGGCGTGGATTTCGATTCAGGTTTAGCGTCGATTTCCGTTTGATCGCTCAGTACAGGAAGTTTCTCGATATCTTGCATGACGTCTCGTTTTGGAACGCTCGCTTCTAAAGACGAAACACTCGCCTTGACGTTCTCAGGCTTCATTTCCGACCCAGGTTTGTCGTCCACTTTCGTTTGAACGCTCTCTACGGGAAGTTTCTGAGCATCTTGCCTGACGTCTCGTTTTGGAACGTTCGCTTCTACAGACGAAACACTCGCCTTGACGTTCTCAGGCTTTATTTCCGATCCAGGTTTGTCGTCCACTTTCGTTTGAACGCTCTGTACAGGAAGTTTCTGAGCATCTTGCCTGACGTCTCGTTTTGGAACGTTCGCTCCTACAGGCGAAATACTCGCCTTGACGTTCTCAGGCTTTATTTCCGATCCAGGTTTGTCGTCCACTTTCGTTTGAACGCTCTGTACAGGAAGTTTCTGAGCATCTTGCCTGACGTCTCGTTTTGGAACGTTCGCTCCTACAGGCGAAATACTCGCCTTGACGTTCTCAGGCTTTATTTCCGATCCAGGTTTGTCGTCCACTTTCGTTTGAACGCTCTGCACAGGAAGTTTCTGAGCATCTTGCCTGACGTCTCGTTTTAGAACGCTCGCTCCTACAGACAAAACACTCGCCTTGACGTTCTCAGGCTTCATTTCCGACCCAGGTTTGTTGTCCACTTTCGTTTGACCGTTNCTCGCCTTGACGTTCTCAGGCTTTATTTCCGATCCAGGTTTGTCGTCCACTTTCGTTTGAACGCTCTGTACAGGAAGTTTCTGAGCATCTTGCCTGACGTCTCGTTTTGGAACGTTCGCTCCTACAGGCGAAATACTCGCCTTGACGTTCTCAGGCTTTATTTCCGATCCAGGTTTGTCGTCCACTTTCGTTTGAACGCTCTGCACAGGAAGTTTCTGAGCATCTTGCCTGACGTCTCGTTTTAGAACGCTCGCTCCTACAGACAAAACACTCGCCTTGACGTTCTCAGGCTTCATTTCCGACCCAGGTTTGTTGTCCACTTTCGTTTGACCGTTCTGTACAGGTAGCTTCTCCTCATCTTGCGTGACGTCACGTTTGGGGACCTTGGATTCCACAGACGACCTGCGCGCTTTGACAGTTTCAGCTTCGATTTTTGATTCGAACCTAGCGACCATTTTAGATAGATGCTTCTGTTTGGTTCGTTTAGGGGACATTTGAGTTATGTCACGTACTGGGGCTTCTTTTTGCGTGGGTGAAGTGCAGCTCTCGACGTTTTCGGCTCTAGATGTGTTGTTCATTTCTCTGTTATCATTCTTTGCCAGTGGTTTGCAAGAATCTTCTATTCCGACACTTTTCGGGGCGTCACCTTCTAAGGATAATGGGAGCACCTTGACAACATCGGTCACAATTTTTGATTCGGGCTTTGCGTCGGTTTTCGGGTTATCGCTTTGTGCGAGTGCTTGCGTGAGAAGTTGCGTGACGTCACGCTCTGGGGTGTTCTTAACGCTTACTTCGATAACCTCGTCCACGACTTTTTGTTCAGGTTTGGGAGGCGTGTAAGATTCCTTTCTGGGAATCATTTCCGTTTCCTTAGCAATAACCTCAGAAATGTCACACTGTTCTTCCTCAAAGTTCATTGGCTGCGTGAAGTTAGCATCCGAGTCAATCTCAGCTTTGATGACATCGTACGAAGGATGCATCTTTGGTTCACGGCATTTCGGAACGATTTCTGCCTCTTCAACTTCTTTCCTCGCACTAGTTTCGTTACGTGCATTTTCCGTATCGATTTTATCTTTTTTGTGATCGCCAAATTCTTCAATCAACTGTTTTGGACTCTGAAGCTCCTGCTCGTCTTTAGTAATCATGACTTCCTTTCTGACAAAAATCTTGATTTTCTTTACAATTTTTACAGATCTTGTACTGTCTCCAACGACACCAATATCGCCGTTCACGCCATTGTAAGCGAACATTTTGTCCGACAGTTCAGGCGGTTCGTTTGACCTTTTTTGTTCGTCGCTGGCCACATCTATCACGCCTCCGATTTCAGGTTTTTCAGTCACGCCATTGCAAGAAATAATTTTGTCTAAGAAAACAGGTTCTTTTAATTTCTTCTCCTTCTCATTGGCTAAATTCTTTGCCTCGTTGATTCCACCATTTTTGGTAAGGCCATTGTAGGTTATAATTTCGTCTAAGTGACTAGGTTCCTCTGGCAACTTCGGTTGATATTTCTTCTCAGAGTGTTCGTCAATTTCGGGGCCAGATTTCTCTGCTTCAGAACTGCTATGATCATCCAGGTCAAACTCAGAGTCACTGGCGTCCATGGTAGCAATAGGGGCCTGTAACCTGGGGTCTTTACGAACACTAAACTCATTACCATTGCTGTAATTATACCCCGCTTGATCCCACAGATTGCTTTCGAACTCCTTTCCCTTATCATCTTCTGCTGAGCTAATTTCTTCGTCTTCCGGGATTGTGTATAGACGTGGCTTTCGCTCACGCCTGTGGTCTTCGATAAATTCAGACCAGTCCTCGCCGTAATAATCAAAACTAACATCATCAGGGTGATCTCTCTGATGGTCGTTAAGTTTCGACAGGACTAGTTCGCCATAAACACCATCCTTTTGAAATGAAACGTCATCCATTAACGTTTCCACCTCGTAACTCTTTATCGAAGGCTCGAACTCTTGCAGCTCTTCACTTGGTTGTTTATCTAAACAATCGCTCAACTTTGAAGTGACAATAATTGACTTTTGAATATTTATGTCTGATCCATCGTCAACGTGCGTTGTCTCGGGTGCTGTAATAGAATAATTTGTTTCTTCATCTGATGATATTACAGTACGCGTAGATGAAATATCAACATCTCTCTGCTCGACTTTGTCCACGGATAGATCGGTTTCCACTACGTCTTTGCTAGAATCGTCATTCACTTCGGCTTGGCCTTCTTCCGAGAGAATCTTGTCTAGATCTGTCACAGAAACGTGCCTTTTGAAATAAATGCTAAACTCTCCTTCGTCTTGCAGTTCGTCGCTGTCGATCAAATCAACATCGTCAATATCAATGTCAGTTTCAAACGTGTCGGTTTCAAACGGGTTGGCGTATCGTGTTGAACCATTCATATCCATAGAATCATCATTAGGGATTTTAATGTCACTTTTCAAACCATCGTCATAAGAATCGATAATTATTTTAGGAACTGCCACTTGATCGAGTTGTTGTTTCGGGCTCGAAATTCCCTTCTGTGGCTTGGTTGTTTCGTCGCTTCCCGACATGGAGAAAAACGTCCAGGCGTGTCTCGTGTGGTCATTTGTACCCGCTATTTCATCGACGAAACCCTTCAATTGAAAGTCAGCGAGATCGCTTTTGTTTATGTCCATTTTAATACCTTTTAATCCACTGGTGTCCTCCTCCGCTGAAGCATCGCTAAGCTCCGTGTCGCGTTCATTTTCAATGTTACCACGGGCATTTTCTTCGTTCTTTGAATTTTCGAAGTGGATATCACGTGTGAAATAACGATCCAGACCGTTCGGAGGACAGGAAATTTTCTGCTCATTTGATGCATGTAATTTGGGCTCCTCATTTGCATCTTGTTTGAGAGCTGGCGCAAGATCACAGCTCGATATTGTAAACAATGAGGTGCTCTCGATCGCACTGTTGTTCACGTCAGAAACACTGTCCAGTATTGTTTCCTTCTCGTCTTTCGGTGCAGAAAAATCCAAACTACCGGAAGTGACTTCTGCAACAGTTCGGCACTTCGTTGGTATCGCGCTTTCTTGCGTGGAGATGTGACTTGCTGGCTCAGGTGATAGAATATTTTTAGAGTTTTCCGCATCTAACACTTGACAACGATTGTCAATTTCGGTAGATAACAAAGAAGAGCCGTTTTGTTCTATATTTACAGGTTCGGAGATTGATTTGACGATCGCGGGGTGGTTAACATTCTCAAAAGCGAAAAGCGATTGCGACTCAGCGGGCTCACCAATAACAACACGATCTTCTTTCGGCTGCAGTTCCTTTGTCATGGTCTCGCGGCTTTCAATAAACGGGGCAAATTTTGTTCCACTCCCAGAAAGATCGAGCTTATGTTCTATATTCACTGAACTTTCTAACACCCCATCATTGTTATTAACTAGCTGCTTGTAGGCTGTAGGTAAATATGAAAGGTCGGCGCTAAACTTATCATCGACATCCGTGTCTTGAGATTTCTCGCTGCTTTCACTGTCACTATCCTCTTCAATTTCTTCCTCTTCAACAATACTAGGTAAGAATCCAGGGAAGATAAGATCCATGTTTTCCATAGAGGGTCTTCGAGCGGCTGCCAGACCACTTGAACCATCAGACGATTCGAAACTTTCGTCATCCCACCCGTACTTTGAATAGTGAATGTGAATTTCATCGTCAATGTATTCGTAAACGCTAGACTCCTCTCTCTCCCCACTCGGCGCCGAAGCAGCATTATCCAACGTGTCTTCTTTCGAAATATCACTCTTAAACCGAAGATCGTCGGTCAACTGTTCTAGAATTTTCCTCGCGACCTCCTCCTCTCGATCGATTTCCTTATCAGAAATTTGCCGACCGGCGGACCTTCGGATCGTAGCAATCTGTGTGATGTAAAACCACACGGTCACAACGAGCAGAAAAACAAACGCAAACGACCAGAATAAGATGGATATTTCTCCTTCTTCGGTTTCATCCTGACTCGGAATGTAGTCTTCCGCAGCCGAAGAAATCACCGCCATCCACATGTCGCCGGGAGTCGCTCGATAGATTTAAAACGGCAGAATGCGCGCTATGGTACTTAATTCTTCTGCTTTCTACGGCGACGGCACGAAACCTTTCCCGTCGGGCCAAGAATATAAACAATTTGTAGTGACCAAGCTCAGGAGTTACATCTCTACGGGCAACGCTGGAAATCTAATCGTCTTGCTGTTGTCCCGTATCGCGGACAATCGCTTCTGTTCTGAGAAAGCGAAGCGTGCAACTTCTAGTAGCTCGTCAGATTTGCATATCAATTGGTGGCACTAAAGGCTAATTTGAATCCTAAAATTTGTGCATTATGTCTTCACTTTGGCGGCCACCAGCTACGAGTTTGTGCAACGATCGGATTCCAGCCAGGTCATAAAAAATGTATAACTCCACCTTCACTTTTTCTCGAAATGACGCGTCGCTTGAACGAAGAGGCTACAAAGCGTTCCTTCGGTCGTGTTTATCTTGGAGTAAAATAATCTTTTGATAGGTTCGGAACCACGTGAACAAAACAATGGCAGAGCTTGCGTGAGTGAGCAATTCCAAAAAAAAATATTTATAACAACAATGATAGCTACAACAGGCAGACGGTGTCGTGGATTTAAGTAACCTACAGGGCACAGACAGGCGTGAAAATAAATACGATCAGACTTAATACTGGTATACATTTCCAGAGGAATTTTATTTGCTAATATTTCTAACGACAGATGGGCACACGCGATGTGTAGAAATGTGTCTCCAGCCTGTACACCTTGGGTTCGAAACGAGAGAGACGTTTGTGAAGCTATATAATTAATTGCTTTATGACAATTAGCAATTCAAGGCCAGAGTTAAGTCAGAAATTTAATTTATTTCATCCATCGAGTTTCGTAAGTATGTCTGAAGTTGTCAAATGTTGACAAACACTCAAGAGCGATTGTTACGACGTTTTCTACACCAAACCCCACCGGAAATTCAAAACGCACCAAAGGAAATGAACTCTGACTGAAGGGATCTTTAATTCTAAATCGTTTAGATTTCCTTTGGATGACTGACCTGGGGAAAAAAAATTGCGAAGTTGGGGCAAAACAATATGTTTAATTACGTAAAATTACGACGAACGTTATGGAAAGATATACAGAGCCAAATTGTTTGCCAGAAAAAAAAAAAAAAAACACTGTCACTGGTTTTATTTTGTTTATTCTCTTTATTTGTTATGGGCTCTTTACAGTTTTCAAATGATTTCTATATGGAAAGTGGACTGATTCACTGTAATATAAGCTGCCTATTGCTACGCTAAGCGGCCTATGATCTAGTAAGACCAATTTTTCCCGCTTCTATTTCGATAATGCTAATGAATAAGAGTGCCACTGAACCACTCAGTTAAACAGTATAACCCGTTTTTTGATCCACAAACTGCCCGCTGTCAGCTCTCCAGATCAAGTTTGATATTTTTTTTCCCTTCGATATAGTTATCAAATATGTAGATCACTCTCTCTTTCACAACAGTATGTATTTGTCTTCTTTTTCCGCGGATGTAGTTTTAGAAAAGCTCGTCCCTTCTCGGATCCGTTGCTATTTTAAAGGTGTTTTAATTAAATGCTATAAGACCTTTAATTTGTACTGAAGATGGTCTCTAAAATCGGAAATGAGGTAACTCATCATAGATTGAGGACAGGTTCTGACACCTTTCATCAGTTTTGCCTTCAGCGATTGAAAGAAAACTATGAATTGTATTATGTGCAGGAAAGCTTAGCAACATTATCTTGCCTTTCTACAGTCCTGTCGTCGGGAGAGCAAGAGTGCTTGAATCGCTGTAGCTCTGGAATGCACAAGAATGCTGTTAAATCATTTTCTTAATTGTACTTATTATGTAATTTATGTGGATGGTAATGCACTCGGGAAGGCACTTGACTGGAACGTGGTCGCAAATATACACTCGTTGGCATCACTGTCAAGTTTTTAAATAGACAGAATGATTAAAAATTAAATCTACCCAAATTTTAGCAATGTGAATACATCGTTAGCTTGTTCTTTAACACAGTTTTGCCTTTCCCATCCTGCTGGTGAAATATTTGCGATATTTGAAAACTTGAGAAAACTCCCGAATTTTAATTCCTATTATTTCAACTATAAGCTTGGAATTGAATTGAAGAGTCCTTGGGCAATGCAAAAAATTATTTCAGATCAGGGCCAAAATTAACTTGGAACCGTTCCAACAATTAAATTCAGTGGTGCAATCTCGCCAAATTTTCCTTATATAGTTTTAGAGCCTTTAAGAGCATCACGTACCGGTATTAAATAATTGACGAGCTGCGTCAGAACAGGCTTAAATAAAATTTCCTGGTAACATTTATTCATGCTGTAGAAGTCTGTTTTTGCATATCCATCTATGGTTCGCATGAGTTACTTCTTTGTTTAAATCACATTAACCTTTTCTCACAGAACCGCCTTCACTTTTATGTCCATGATTGTATCTTTTCATTTTGCGTGACAGCATCTCAAACGTGAAGTCCCTCTAGGCATTTTCACCAGACCGTAACAAATTTGTCAAGAGCACGAATGACTATTAGTGGTAAATTGCAATTCAGCTGTTGTTATTGAGAGAACTAATAAGAACGAAAATGAGAACCCTTCGGTGATCATGAGCTATCTTCCCCTCACTAAATCTATGTCCAGTAAGACAAGGGGTGTTGTCCTGATGGGCCTCAAACTTCTTATAACCAAACTAACGGTAGAGAGTTGATAACAAGCAGCTATTTATAGACGTTAAAAGTTATGTCATTGAGTTTGGGTTTGTCAAAGCCACCTCTTCGTCGTTGTTTCGCCATATTTCCAGGTCGTGAACGTGTAATAAAGTTTCGTGTCAATTCCTGGCACTGTGGTATTTGATAAAAGAAATACCTGTGTGAAAAAGTCCGAACAGAATATAAAAAACAGATAGACAGGTGAAATGTGTCACCAAGGGCAACCAGAGTGTTCTCAAAAAGTTGCTATTTTTGAAGACGAATATTAATTATGTCGGCAATACAAGTCAATTTTACATTTTGCGGATATTAAATGCCAAAAAAAGATTTATTAAAATGTAATAAAGAGATAAAAGTTATTGGAACTTATTGCAAAGGCAAAGAACATGCAGTTTCCCATAGAATTAGTCTCCGTGACCAAACTCAGTGGATTATGAAGGTAATAATGTTGAGAAGACTCTTACAAAACACTGAAGTAGCATAGCTGGAAGGAACAAAACGGTTGCCAAGAAATTAAACAAACTGAGGTACTTTACATAATGACAACAAACTGACTAACAAACTCTCCGTGTCACCTGGAACTCGTGCAACTTGCTAATTGGTTTATATGCCTAGGCCGATTTTCGGGCATCTGAATGAGGGCTACCTGTAAGCATCAAATAAGGCAGGCAACAGAGAATATCACCAGTTTCTTGATGATCGACATTTATCACAGTTTGAGACGAATAATGTGCTAATAACTTATGATAACACTCTAATGAGAAATTTTTAGCTTATTCATCTACTGTCTAGACAGCTTTTGACATGAGGTTCAACCCCTCGGGTTGTATTTCAGGAATGATGAAAGAGATAAGAGTTTCACAGTTCGGCGCATGTCCAAGCTTTGACGCGAGCATAAACTACCTTTTTCGTGTCTTACTCACGACCACATGTAGTTCAATCACAGGCAATACTTAGGTAAGCTCTCTGGATGACTGATGCCCAAACTTGGCGGAAGATACCACGAATTTACACAGAAAATGTCGAATTTGGTATTGAACATCGAACTGATTATGCAGGCGGAAGGCTTGACCCTGGACAGACGCACGAGTTATCTGTTCACATCTGATTGGTTAACAAACAAAGGAAAGATTGCAAAAGGAATTCTAATAAGAAATACCACCTCTATTCAGCCTCTTTAATTTCCCAAGTCTACGGTTTCCTGATTGTTTGTTGCATGTGCACATTATCACCTCTTTTTGGTTTTTCTACCTAAGTAAGCTAAATGAATACATAGTGTAGATGGCATTCAATTTTGCCCCAAGAGCCACCGAAGTGATTCGGACCCCGAGTTTCAATGATGCATGGCCTGCACAAGTGAAAAAATCAAGATAAGCCTACTATTATGCAATATGGCAAAGTTATTTTAAATTCCATATCCCTTAGTTTAAATCGTTGTAATTTTAGTCTCAAGCTTCAGGCCCGGTGTTACATTTCATACACCTGTTCTAAACACATTGCTTGAAGTTTGCACGATTTGTGAAATGTAGCATTTCTTTATAAAAGTTCAGATAAGTTACTAGGAATGAGCTGGACAAAAGCAACGGCAGTTATTTTCATTATGGGAGGGGAGGAGTGGGGGGAGAAGTAAAAGGTAGTAATGTATTTGGTTAAGCCAGATAAACTAAGACCGGTCAGGACCTCTTAAAGTTTGGGCGCAAGAGGTAATTCAAATCTGTCGACAAAAGAGAAACATCCTTTAAAACAAATCGCCAGCACAGAGCATACAGCTTAGCAGATTTCCATCGTCCTCTCAGTATGCCCTGTTAGTGAGATTTATAAACTTGACAGTTTCATCAAGCGGTTTTAAAATGACTGTCGTACAACAAAAACCCAAGTTATCACTTTTGGCTAGTCGTGAAGAACACAGACAATCCTGTGAACCAATCAAAACTCCAATACATGTAGTAAACTTACGACTGGTTTGATTGTACTTCTGATTTGGATAAGAAAGCTGTGCAAGATTTTTGAGCCCATGAATAGCATGCTAGTTACATGTAAGTTAGTTAGTGAAAAACTAATAATGAAATAAAAACTTCAAAAACTAAGGTTTCTGTAGAATATATCTTTCACTACATAATATTGTAAGCTGGGATCATCTCAATAGGCTAAATTGATGTGAACCAGCTGAGCAATGCACTATGGTGTTATTTTTCATTCATAGCAACCCAATATTTGAATAAATAAGAAGTGTTCAAGGATAAGGTAAATATTTTAATAAATACATTTTTATATTACATCTTAAGTACAATAAATAGCTCATCGGCCTCTTGTTAAATATTGTTAGTAGCAGAGTCAGTAGTTATATCTTCAATAAAACCATTTTAATTATCACTATTCGAGAAAAATTGACAAAACAGTGTCGCACGATGAAAGTAAAAGCTGGAGAAACGTCAATATCCACAATAACTGAATTGAGTAATTTACAATAATATTATAAAAAATTCCCAGTTAGTAAATAGATTATGAGTACATGATGTTCTCTTCTTCTTGCTGACTTATAAATGAATAAATACTATTGTTTCCAGTGGCTCTGTTTAGTAGCAGTCTCTTTAGTTTACTGGCCAGCTACACCCTGTAACATCTACTTGATTGCTCTGAATTAAAGAAAGACAAGTGCAAATTATTATACAGATTAACATGCAAAGTAACATACACCCAGGCAAAGCCTGAAAATGAACTTAATAATAATGTTTAGCTTATGACTGAGTCAAAGTTAAAACCCATAGGTTACAAGATTTTCAAACCGATTGTGCTCTAGTGGTGTGGCTTTGCTGTGCAGAGCTCCAACAAGATGATCTGAACCCCTGGGAAAACATGGGAGTTTGACTATTGGTAACGCCTGAGGAGTTTAGTCAGAGAGTCTAGTTGAATGATTCACCTGATGATGGTGAAGAACGAGGAGATATGACCATCAGGTACATGTTAGGCCCCATCCACATTACACGGGAGGAATTTGAAAATGGAGGATTCAAATGCTTCTGGTCCACATTACGCAGGAGGAATTTAAAAATTCAACAATCACTGGTTATTTTGGATTTGCGTTTGAAAAAAAATTGGCAGGGAAATCACATGATTACTGCTAGGTCATCATTTTCAAAAAGCTCCATTTCTGAAATGTTTTCTGTCCACATGAAAATGGAAAAAAAAGGGGGGGGGGGGGG